ACACTGTTAATAGATCAGTGTTTGTCTAAACGTCTGAATAATCATCACAGTCTGAGTGTCACTATCACATCACAGCAAACATGATGAATGAAATCACGCAGGGTCAGCTACTTTTAGATAAACAATCAAAGAAAGGAAGATATTTAGTGAAAGACAAAAGGATTAATTCATGAATAATCTTTAACACTGGTGGAGTTATCCTTCTACTAACACACGCTAACAGCTTGAGTATTTGACTGATGTATCTTGTTGCAATCATCCGTCACCCACCCACACACACACACACACACACACATAGACGGATGTGGAGTGGGTGTGCCTGGTACACACTCAATGAACAGGTTGTGGCTAACTGGTCTGACAGATCCACATACAATTAAACCGTCACAGTGGCTTCACTTTGGTTCATAGCGCTGTAACCACACAGATTCTAGCCAGGTGTTGCATCTAAAATCCTCAAACTAAACGTCAATCAAAAAACAAGCATTTTAAACGTATTGTTCACGTCATTTTGCAGACAGAGATGACAAATCATGAAATTAAACATTAGTGATTACAAACAAAAACATGGCAACAGACACTCATTATATGTTCTGTGTGTTGGCATGTTTCTAAAGCCTAACACTTTCAAGATTTTCATAAAAATTAGAGATGTCTGAACCAAACTCCAATCAAAAAAAACCAAACATTTTTAAAGTTGTTTCTTTTTGTCGTAGAGACAGACCTGGCAAATTCCGAAATTCAGACTTTTTTCTTTTTTTTTCTTTTTTTTTTCTTCTTTTTTTACAAATCCTCATCATGATGTCGTTATTTCAGCATCCTTTCAGCCTGGTTATTGTCATTAAATGCGTTTATTTTAGGTTCGTAGCCCTGTAGTAAGACAGACTTCAGATGACTTGTTAGATACAATGAAACTGCCACTCGGTGGAGAAAGATGCTAGCTGGTGTCCATCAGAGAATCCTGGTACTGATCCGAGCTAACAAGTCCTGAAACTGGTACCTGGTCAGCCTCAAGGAGCTGAGGCAGCAGAGAGGTTCATCCAGACACAGTTCACAGAGGAGAAGGGAGATTAACCCCAGATGAGGCCATTTTTTTTCTTAAATGTTGGTGACGGGGCAAAGTCATCCAGACACCGTTAACCATCAGGTCCTAATTGACAAACTGTCTGCTTTTAACCTCTCACCGTTGGCACTCAAATGGTTTGAGTCATATTTAACTGGTAGAAGTCAACATGTTTCTGTGAACAACCAACGTTCATCAGCTCTTAATTTATGCACTGGGGTACCACAAGGATCGATAATTGGCCCACTTTTGTTTAGTTTATAATGATCTGCCGTCGGTTTGCCCTGACATCAAAACACAAATGTATGCAGACGACACCGTAGTATATGTGCACGCCAAGACAAAACATCTAGCTGCTGCCCAACTCACCAAAGCCATGAATCAGATAACCAATTGGCTAAACCGTTCATGCCTTCAACTTAATGTAAATAAAACTGTAGGAATGTTTTTCACAAAAAGACAATGTAACATTGTTTCCAATATAATAATTTCTGGTCAAAACATTAGTATTGTGCCGTAATTTAAGTATCTGGGTGTTATTATTGATTCTAATCTTTCTTTTAAAGCGCACATTAAGAAAGTGTGCAATAGGGTCAAATTTAGCCTAATAAATTTTAAATATATTAGAAATACACTAACTTTTAATGCTGCCAAACTGTTTATGGATGCCATGATTATGTCACATCTGACATGCTGTATGACAAGCTGGGGTCGAACTAGCAGCTTGTCATTAAAGCCATTAGCTACTCTCTACAAGAAAACCCTCAAAGTATTAGACCAGAAGCCTAACAGTTCACATCATTGTATTATATTAAATAACCATAAACTGCTGAGCTGGGAAGATGTTATCAAAAACAAAAACATCTGCCTGGTCTACAAAATTCAGCATAACACTGCTCATCCTCCTTTGAACTCATTCACAATCCAAAATAACAGTCAGATCACTAGAAGCCCACACGAGGTGGCCAGCTATAATTTTCTGTTAGAGCAATACAAAACTGGAATTCACTGCCCACCACTATCAAAGATTTACATAGATACTCCACCTTTACAACACACCTTAAAACATGGCTGTCTGACAACTATAACTGCACACATGTGTGTTTGATGTGACATAGTCATTGCTGCTGCCGCTGCTGTCTGCCTCCATGTTATGTCTTGTATGTGCTTTCAATGTGGCCTCTATGATTATTCTTGTCCCTTGTCGCCCCAGTATTGTCTTTATTGCATGAACTGCTTTGATTGTGTTTTGTTTGTGCCTGCTCCAATTGTGTGTGATATGTTGTATGTCTATTTCTTTTTCCTTTCCTTTTGCTTAGGCCTGTTGTAATTACAAATGTAATGTATTTTATTGTATTTTAAATCTTAACAATTGCATTTTAGGTTGTCTACTGACAACTGGCCGGGGACTACAGCTGGAAATTAGCCGTAAAGGCTAAAGCTGCTTCTATTACTGGACAGTAAATTAAAGGGGACTGTCCACGAAACAATAAACAAATAAACTAAATTCTGTGGGGTAAACTGAACCAGTAACTTTTGGTTGGATTTGTTTCCCTGGAGATTACAACTGTCATAGCAAACATTAAACTGGACGAATACATGTACATGATGTTTTATTTCTTACTTATTTCTTTTTTTAAATCATCAGTAAAAACCTTTTTAGATCCTTATGAATGATAATAATGCCAATAAGAAATTAGATGGATGTATTACAAAGTTTAATTCATTCTTATTGTATAATTAAACTGCAATAGAGTTTTTAGGGGGGGTTCAACTTAACTTACTGGAGGAAGTTGAGAAGTCATATTTTCAAGGCCCCTTTGAGTTAATTGGCAATATCTTAAATTAAGAGTAGATGTGTTCACTGTATTTCTTTTTCTTGTCTGGAGAACCAGATAAGTACAAAGCCCCCCCCCCCTTCCTTACTACCCTACTCTCCCCTCGCTGCATGGTAGCACATCTCGATTGGGTAACACTCATCGTTATAAAATCTGTGCCATTTGGAAGCACGTTCTTCTTTTGATCATTTCGTTGGGTGTGTCTAAATTCACTCATAATAACGTGAAGAACAGAGTGAAATTATAATGTGGAAGAAAGATATTACCAAGTGGAAACACTATATTACTGTAATGCAATCCTTTTCATTACAATGATAAATGCAATTAATTGCAATCAATTCATTGCAAAGCCTGTCATTAATCAGATTATTTTTTAATCGGTTGACAGAACTTTTTTTGAAATATGTCTTCTGTTACCTCTAAGCCTTAGTGTGTGGTTTTCCGTAGACTTGTGCAACTCTCCACACCCTCTGCAGACACACAGCTTTGGAAACATCAGGCTGCATGTTGTAATGTAACAATCAAATCCACCCCAATGAAACAGAGTGACACAAAGGCATTAACATCACGGAGGAGGAGATTTAAATTCAAGGGTGGCTCCATAATTATAGGTTATTACAAGTTTGTGTTGTGTGTGTGTGTATATGTGTTAGAGAGATCCTGCTCCCACATGCAGTACAGTCCTGAAAACATTACCTGGCTAGACTGAGGACATGAACATCTGAATCTGTTCATCCCATCTCACACACTTTGTTTTCAGACTGAGCCAGTGCAGGGGAGATCACGATAACTGGGAGAACTGGACCAGAATAAACTGTGAACCTTAATGCACACCATGTTCATGTTATAGAAAGTATATGATTTATTTATCCATAAAACACCGCAGTTTACACTGAAACCTGTCATGAAACATGAAGGTGTGATTAACCTGCACCAAGAGGCTAGACTACAATGCCACTAACCTGCTGTGTGTCTGTCCTGTCCAGGTGTAAGTACTGGCACTATGACGACAGACTGCTGACCTCCAGTGTGGTGATCGTGTTCCATAATGAAGGCTGGTCTACACTGATGAGGACGGTCCACAGTGTGATCAAGAGGACTCCCAGGATATACCTGGCTGAGATCGTCTTGATCGACGACTTCAGCAACAAAGGTCAGACTTACCTGCAGATAAATACAGAGTAGCAGAACTGGTACCAAATATAGCATTGTCAGACTGAAGTAGCATTTTCTGACTGAACCAGCAATACCCGACTAAACAGACAATGTCTGACTGAACCATTACAGTCTGTCTAAAGTGTTTAACCATGATACCGACTCACTTTTTTAACGTGGCTCTGTGGATGGTAACATAAATTTGAGTATGTGTGTGCGTGTGTGTGTGTGTGTGTGTGTGTGTGTGTGCAGCCCACCTGAAGGAGCGTCTGGAAGAATACCTCAAACAGTGGAACGGTCTGGTGAAACTGTTCAGGAATGAGAAGAGAGAAGGACTCATCCAGGCCAGGAGCATCGGAGCCAAGAAGGCCACTAAAGGAGAGGTACCCGATGATGTCACTGATGCTGCCACACACACATACACGCGCACGCACACGCACACGCACACACACATACTTGGTACAACTAGTCAGTATCATTGTGTGTATAGGTGTTCAAGAAAGAGCTGGGTCTTTAGCTTTTTCTTAAAGGTGCAAAGGAACTCTGCGGATTTAATGGAGTTTGGAAGTTTGTTCCATCACCGGGTGAGGGGGCAGACAAGAGTCTAGTAGTTAGAGACTTGAGGGCTTGTTGTGAAGGTTGGATCAGACGTCTTTCATTGGCAGAGCATAGTGGGCCGGAACTGGATGAGTTTCAATAAGTAGGAGCCATTCTTGTCCCAGTTTTTTATAATGAGCAGCAGGGATTTAAATTTGATGGGAGCAGTAACTGGGAGCCAGTGTAAGGCAAGGAACAGCTGAGTGACATGTGCTCTTATGGGCACAAAACATGAACAGTTTTTGGTTGACGAGGGGATTTAGTTCTATTGTTGGAGTTTTACCAGACATCAACACAAACAAAGGAACACACACATCAGGTGTTTATGTGTGTCTGTCCTCCAGGTGCTGATCTACCTGGATGCTCACTGTGAGGTTGGAGTCAACTGGTACGCTCCTCTGGTCGCTCCTATATCAAAAGACAGGTAACAAACACAAACACAGATACACGTGGTACTGTTTCAATGAGTTTAGAATATCGACTGTAAATATTAATGGACGAAGCCTGAGTGACGTCAGCCATTTGTTACGTCAGGGGGCTCCGGAGGCTCATCGGCCACAGCAGCCATGCTGGAAATCCTGTCTCTAACTTTCAGACAGCCTAACGACAGGCTGAGAGCCGGAGTAACTGTTACATCGTGCCCACCAGTATAAACCCCACAAAAAGTGAGCATTAACTCCACAGAGATTGCAGTTTAGGACTAACGGATAGCTCAGTTTTAACCCACAGCCTAAACCCCAAAGAGAGCCCCACTTAAACCCCACAGAGCCCCCAGCCAAAAACCTAGACAGAGCCAGCTTGAACTCCACACAGAGCCCATTTTAAATGCCACAGGGCACAGCTTAAACCCCATGGTTCAATCTTAAACAAACAGCATGCCCAGGTTTAACCTGACAGAGAGACAATTTTTAACCCCATGGAAAACTCAGCTTTAACCCCACATCGAGCCCCTCATTAACCCCACACTGGTGCCTCTTCGATGGCGTAACATTAGTGACCAAGTGTGTGATTTTACTTGGGTTTCAGGCGTTGCTGAAGCACAAGAGGCATGGTGTGTAAACAGAAAGTGGGAGCTTCACAGATACACTTACACACATACACACTCAGACACAGAGCACGCCTCTCTGCTGGTTCTGACGTTTTACAGCCACCCTCAGTGATAGATGAATTCATCAGCTGTTTTGCCTCCATCATTTACATTGATGGCGATGTGTTACTGGGTCATAAAGGTCCTGCCTTGAACTGGCAACGTAAAGGGCCTTCTGTGTATTTTTTGTGTGTGTATGTGTGTGTGTGTGTAGGACAGTGTGCACAGTACCTCTCATAGATTATATAGATGGTAATGAGTACACCGTGGAGCCCCAGCAGGGTGGAGATGAGGACGGGCTGGCTCGGGGAGCATGGGACTGGAGTCTACTTTGGAAGAGAGTCCCACTGAGCAACAGAGAGAAGGCCAAGAGAAAACACACCACTCAGCCCTACCGGTACTCACTCTTCAGAGAGTAGACAGCATGCTAACACTCATCCCTGTTCTGTTTGTTTCTCCATCTCCACCCCTCTATCCTCCCCACGTCTTTGTGCTTTCACTGTCACTGCCGTCTGTGTCCACCTGTTTGTGTCCTGCATGTACACTTCCCCCACATCCCTTCACTCCCCATGTATCCCGTATGCATGGCCCCATCCTGCCTCTGTCAGAACGGTGTGTACGGTGCCTCTGGTCGACTCCATCGACGGACAGAAGTACAACATCGGGCCCCAGGGTGGAGGAGACGATGACGGCTTCGCTAGAGGTGCCTGGGACTGGAGCTTGCTCTGGAAGAGAGTCCCTCTAGGAGACAGAGAAAAAAAACTGAGACAGAGTCGCACTGAGCCATATAGGTACACAAAACAAACACCTCCAAAGTAGACAGTGTCACCTCAGAGACCAACAGATCCAAACTAGAGCACAACTTGTTTCTAATAATGATCCTTTAACATAACTACAATGTATAGTAAAATATGTTTCGTAGTCATGTAAAGTAACTAATAATAGTTAACTTTCCATCTCCACAATTGCCAGCTGTGAAGCTAAAGTCCTGCTCACGTGTCCTTATGATATGAGTGGGACCTTATTGGTCCCAAAAGGACAATATAGTTAGAGAATAAGTAAGGTTTTAAAATAAAATAAACAACCCAGTAAAGTCCCAACGAAGCAAAGTAAAGAAATAGAACTTTAATCAAGTGCACAAAAAGAAAGATATAAATAAAATATTGAAAACTCTGCTATGGTATTGTTAATTATAGTGACAGTGGTTTAATCATAGTGACATTATTTAAGAGTATAGTGATGGTAACGGAGTGTGTAGTGACATCAATAAGGGTTTTAATGATATGAAAAGTTTAAAATAAAAAGAGAGCTATATAATTGAGTTTAACCGACTAACTAATAACACTGTTGTCACGCTGTGGGGGGAAACATCTGTCCTGACCACTTCCTCTTCTGGTCTTTAAGCTGTTCAGAGTTTAGTTTGTTGTCTTTTTGGATGTTGTCTTATTGGATGTTGTCTTACCGGTTGTTGTCTTATTGGATGTTGTCTTACTGGTTGTTGTCTTATTGGATGTTGTCTTACTGGATGTTGTCTTACTGGTTGTTGTCTTATTGGATGTTGTCTAACCGGTTGTTGTCTTAATGGTTGTCGTCTTATCAGTCTCACTCTGTGGTGTTCAGTGTTACTAACTTAAACTGCTGAGTCTTTAAACGGTATAGTACCTCTGTGAGAAATGACTGAATCCTGATCCAAACAGGGTCAGTGCTGGGTCATGGTGTCGGGTCTGTGCTGAGGGTGAACTGGGGATCGCTCTGGTGTCATTGGGTTTCTGATTGGGGCACCATCACTTCCCCCTCCCTCCCCTGAACCTTTTCATTCATCTTGTTTGTGTGTTGGTCTCTTTCTCAGCTCTGCTTTCGCTTACTTCCATGTGTTCTGATATTGTCTGATGAAGTCTGTGTGCTAACTGACAGTAATAACAGTAACTTTCTGACTGAGAGGATCTTGTTAATTAACCAGAAAAAGTACTGATGATGTTGCTGATTCTCACTGATGCATGTAAGTTTCTTTGCACTTGTTTGAGTCCTCCTCTGTGTGTATGTGTGTGTTTGTTTACACATGTATGTGTACCTGCAGGTCTCCTGCTATGGCGGGGGGTCTGTTTGCTATCGAGAGAGACTTCTTCTTTGAGCTGGGTCTGTATGATCCGGGACTGCAGATCTGGGGAGGAGAAAACTTTGAAATATCATACAAGGTACACACAGAGTACTGCAATTTATACACACCTTATAATATGGTTTCAGAGTAGTTTTTACATTCTGTACTTTAACGTGTTTGTAGATCTGGCAGTGTGGCGGTCAGCTCCTCTTTGTGCCATGCTCCCGGGTCGGTCACATCTACAGGCTACATGGTTGGCAGGGTAACCCGCCACCTGCACACGTTGGAGCATCACCGACTCTAAAGGTAGAGCGGCTCACACTGAGACACAGCTGACACATCAGCACAAGAACTTACGGATAAACATCTTAGGGCTGCTGTGTATTTTTGTCCTTTATATCACATTTTTGTTTCAAGTTCAATAAGTATGTGTTTGTCGAAATGTTATGCATTGAAATTATTTTGAGTTAATATGTTTCTTCCCTTTTACATTAGACAATTAAGACATATATCAAAAAAGGATGACCCCTTTAAATGACCAGAGAATACAATTAATTTTAAATGTCATATCAAATGTAAATTTTCACCCTTTCAAATTTTTTTCAAGTTTTTAAAGCTGTTCAGCCCTTTTAAAAAATGCTCCTCGCTATGTAGAGCAGGAATTATAGGGCCTCAATGTTGGTGCCAGGGCCCTGAAAAAAATCAACGTACAATACTATGTATACGTGTTTGTCTCTGAACAGAACTATGTGCGGGTGGTGGAGGTTTGGTGGGATGAATATAAGGACTTTTTTTACGCAAGTCGGCCTGAGACTTTGACGCTGGCTTACGGAGACATCAGTGAGCTCAGACGATTCAGGTAAGACAGTTTTTAATATGATCAATTCTTTATGCTCTTCCAATCCCACTGTTTATTCCCTCTGAGTTTAGCAGTTGTCACTTACCTGTCTTAGACATACTGACACAGTTAACCAGCATTAGTCCATTCTAATTGTTAGGGCCAAATCTTCACAATGTGACTGTTTCTAAAAAAAAAAAAAAGCCAAAGGCAGACCTTGGCAGCCTTAGAGACAGATATACAGAGCATGCTAAGAGTAGAGCCACTACTTGCATCTAAAGGAGTCAGTTGAGGTGATTTATTATTTGCTTAAGATCCTCTTGGGAACCACCCTTTGGAGGTCTTCTGGCAATGTCAATTTGAAAGGAGACCCCAGGGTAGACCCAGAGCTGACTGGAGGGATTCTATATCCCATCTGGCCTGGGAACGCCCTTGAATCCCCCTAGTAAGATAGAATTCCCTCCTTTTACAAGGTCTGCTTTCATAAATCAATGTTGTATTACTTGTTAACTTGTTTTATATAAATATATTATTACTGTAACTTTCCTGTTATTTTTGTGTTTCATCGTCATCAGAGAGGAGCATCGCTGTAAGGGCTTCAAATGGTTCATGGAGGAGATCGCATATGACATCCCACTGAATTATCCCCTGCCTCCTAAAAATGTGGAATGGGGGGAGGTAAGAACACACGCACACACACACACACACAAACCCACTTTTGTGCACACACTGTGTTTGTTTCAGAGTTGTGTTCATCATGTTTTGACTGTGTGTAGATCCGGGGCTTAGAGACCAGTTACTGTATCGACAGTATGGGACACACTAACGGTGGAAACGTGGAGATCGGACCCTGCCACAGGATGGGGGGAAACCAGGTACTGACCCACATGGAGCTTCTATTCTGGTTTGTACCAGCCTAACAAACAGCAGAGCAGTTCCAGTCTATGTGATTCACTTTTAGATAAAGGAAATCTCTAACATTCCTGTAGGGAGGGGCTCTTTGTTACTATCCATATCACATAAACTTCAGCTTTTAATTTGAACAGTCCCTCGCTGAGTCAGGAGGAGAGGCCGACTTTAAATGATTCTTCAACAAAAGAAACCAACACATCCTTCTCTTTCAGATTCATGATTTATGTAAAACAGGCACATCTGATCCACGACAACCACACCACCACATCCTCCCTTTCTTCTCTTTAAACGTCTCTGTGTTTTTGAGACTGAGAGCTAAGTTTGTCTCACTGTGTGTCTGTGTGTGTGTGTGTGTGTGTGTGTGTGTGTGTGTGTGTGTGTGTGTGTGTGTGTGTGTGTGTGTGTGTGTGTGTGTGTGTGTGTGTGTGTGTGTGTGTGTGTGTGTGTGTGTGTGTGTGTGTGTGTGTGTGTGTGTGTGTGTGTGTGTGTGTGTGTGTGTGTGTGTGTGTGTGTGTGTGTGTCTAGTTATTCCGGATCAATGAGGCTAACCAGCTGATGCAGTACGACCAGTGCATGACGACAGGAAAAGAGAACTCAGGTGTCATCATCACACATTGTGAGCGGAACCAGTACACTGACTGGAAGTACTTCAAGGTAACACACACTCATACACGTATACACACACACACACACACAGATCAGTACTGAACAATACCTCACTGTGTTTTTTTTTCTCTCTACTTTCAGGATATGAATCGGTTCACTCACGTGCCAACAGGTAAATATCTGCTCTGTTATTACTACATTTATTCTAATTTGTCATGATGCAAAAATGATGAAGTTACCTCTGACAGTAGTTGTCAGACTGCTGATGTCCTATGTGTATGTGATGTGTGTAGTAATGTGCATTGTGTCTTTGTCCCAGGGAAGTGTCTGGACCGCTCCGACATGCTGCACACAGTGTTCATCTCGGACTGTGACACCAGTAAAACCAGTCAGAAGTGGGAGATGAACAACATTGTGGCTGTGTGACCAACTGGGACTCAGACATGAAGGCCGGGTGTAAAACACTCCTATTAGACTGTGATCCTGGTCACACACACACACACACACACACACACACACACACACACACACACACACACACACACACACACACACACACACATGCAAGTAACACTCTTGCTGGTCTGAACTGGACCCTTACTGGTCTCTTATCTGTTGATTTGGGCTCTCAGGTGTTTCAAATTTTCTCACTTTGATTTAAATTACTAAACCGTCTATTCTTTTAGTCCCCTTATCATACTCACTCACCTCACTAACCAAAGAGTCCTTTCTATTGGTGGAGGAGCCAGTCACATCATTAATGTGGTAACCAGGCAGACCGCATCAGGATGTTAATGTTGAAGAGAAACTCTCAGATGAGACTGACCTGAGCAAATCAAAGTCCTGCTTTGTTAAATTCATCATTTAAAAAATCAATATGTTTACCTGATCAGACTCTATCAGTCAGAGAGCATGAACTTTATCTGAGAACAGAGCTAGTAAACACATGGACAACAGACACACTGTGAACTCTGAGAAACTGAACTATAATTTTTTATTCTCAGAGACATTTTCATTATTCCCACTTTAAAGGGTCTCCTCTCTGTGGACCACAAACAGAGGTTAACCTGTGCTCACACTTCTCTAAACTCTCTGATCAGTCTGATAGACAGAAGACAAACCCCTCAGTTTGCCACGTCTGACACCAGCCCTCCTTCACATCAGAAACACTAACTTTACTCCTCTGATTGACTCCAGTTCTTTCGATTGATCAGCTCCCACAGACTGTGATGTTTGTGTGAGTGAGGAGGACTCCTGCCTTATGACAGACTGATGAAGGTTCAGTATCTGACCAGCTGACTGTGACTCAGCCTGATGATAATAAACACTGTGTTGTTTTGAGGGTTTGGGCTGATACGACAACACATGAAGAAAAAGTGACTGTTTGTGGGAGGTACAGAGGCTTTGGTGTGTGGACGATCATGTATGCAATGTTTTGTACAATGTAAATAGATTCTTTGTAAAGACGCTAAATCATTTTGTGAAGGGGCCTGAATGATGTAAATATTTAACTTATAGCAGAGATTTAATATTTGGGGGGTGATGGAGCAAATAAACACCTGATTTTTACAGCTCACGCTGCCTCCTGTCTGTTACTGTGAGTCAATCACTGCAGTCTGACACAGAAAGACTGAATTTAAACCTTTTAAAACATTTTAAAGCAACAATCTGTAACCATGACTTGTGACCTGACTTTTTTGCAGTGATGCTTACAGCCTAATTTTCACCCAAAACATTTAATACAGTAAGGGCCTGATTTACTAAGCTCCCAAGTAAAGAGTACTAAATTGCGTGTTCATTCCAAAAACAATTGCACGTTTGGTTCGTGTGCGATTTGCGGGTGATCTAGTAAGAAAATTTGCGTGAATGACACCAGGTGCAAACCTTGTGGAGGCGGTACTATTTAAGTTAGGTTTTTGCGTCATGGGGAGTTTGGACAGAAAGCAGGATGACTGAGCGCAAAATAGGTATCAGTGGAAGAGGCAAATAAACGTACAGTATTTTCGAGTTATAACAGATAAAACTGAATATTACATAAAGCAAATTTGGCTTATAAGAAAACCTCGGCATTAAACAGGGCCTCTCTTTTCTTCCCTCCATCTTTTGAAGATGAATTGTCATACATTGTGCAGGAGGTGCGAGCTGTGGCGCAACACTCGGCACATTGTTGCGTACAAGACAGCTGGCCAGTGCTGTGTCTGACCGGACATAATACTCTGGCAAGAGGTATCCAAGCGTAGCAGCAGCAGACTGTAGAGAGAGGAGAGCACCAGAGGGCACGAGCTGGGGGAGAGACGCGCAGCCTGAGAAAAAGGAAATTCCCAGTTTAAAATATAATGTTGGCGAAATGAGGGAAATAGGAAGAAGTGAATGTCAATGTTGAAAATCTTTAGGCTGTGGATGTTTTATTGGCTGTAAATAGGCAACAATTATAAATAGCAACATTGACTCTGCAGAAACAGGCAAAGGTGGATGCTATTGTCCTAGAACAAATCTCCCTTTGAAAGCAAACAAGTGGCAACCTGGCCATTGGTGTACTAGGGCCCCCTTTCAAAATAGGCTATTTACATAGATCTCTCAAAGAGAACATAAAAGACTAGTGTGTTGTGTTCTGAGGAGGGAAACTCTTTCACCACGCCCTGTGGCCCTGGCAGGCACATAGCCCTGAGGCTGGAAAAGTTAGGGACCGTCAATAGAAGGAGAAGGTTTGATCTAGTTCCACCTTGATTATTGACATCATAGACAGCATAGCTGAACATGCCTGCCTCCCTTATAAGGCAGGAGTCTGTGGCACACCCAGTTTATATCCAAAAGCTTGAGCCCATCAGTGTTATCTGTGAATTTGAATTCAATACAACGCTTTTTTGTACTGCCATGATAACCCCAACCCCACCCAGAAGTGTACACCGGTCACTACCACCTCACAGTGTTATGCCCTCATTCAGATAGTGCTGCAAGGTAAGGAGGCATTGGCTTGACATTTTGACCTTCTTGGACCTCCTTGACCTTGGATCTCAAAGTATCATAATATATTTGTCCAAACTAGGAATTTCCCAATGGCAACACTGATGTTGCCACCTGAAGTTGTATTCCAACATCCTGTTCTTTTGAAAACAGAGAAGAATTGCACTGCTGTGTGTACTGATTGGGGGAGGCCCACTGATGGCAAAAGTCCATGGTAATACAGTAAACTCCACTGTTTGACTGGGTGTGACACACATTTTGTGATGATTGGCAGTGAGGCTCTGTCTTATCTTGATGCAAGTTTCGAAATGTCAATGCACACATTATCTGAAGCTTGTAACACCAGCAAGGCCAGCCTGGGTATTTGCTAACAGGTGGAGTCAAAAGAACAAGAAGGAGCTCCTGTTTGACAGCAAACACCCAGACATACCTCCTGGATCCTTGACAGGACACGAACCCAGGGACCAGGATCAGGATCAGTGTGAATCTGTCACTGTTAGCTAGTCAGACCAAATCGTATGAGAGCAGACAGATGAGATACAAATTAACATCATCCTGCTAGAGTTCAGACGTCTTATTAGAGAATCAGGATTATTTACGTTGCTGTTTTCAGCTTTGTGTTCAAACTCACAGCAACACATAATCGCAGTTAGTTTGTTAGCAGATGATTAGACTTTATGAGGAGCAACAGCTAGCAGCTAACCTAGCTTAGCTCATTCTGTTGTTAGCTTAAGTATGAGGCTGAAGGTGGGCTTTCTCCTACGGTCTATGCTGGTCATATGGTTATTTGTGGGTCTGAAGGTTCTTTGGTCTGCTCTGTCAATCAAAGCAGGGAAGGAAAACCCTTTTGGAAAACAGGTGAGTTAATTTAGTTAATTTTGTTCTATAGTGACTCTAAGTAAGTAACAAGTGTGCTCATGATAACTGATGACAGAAGACTCTCATTCACTGTTAGCTAACTGGTAGCTTGTTGTCATGGAGATTTACTCTCGCTAGATGCTCTGATATCTTTGTATGACACCAGCAGACGCATTTGAACCCAGGACCCCCTTGACCGATTCTCTTCAACTTATGTATGCTTCCACTTGGTAATATCATGAGGAAACATATCAATTTCACTCATACTCAACACTCATACTTTTGAATTGTTATGCAGATGATACTCAACTCTACGTATCAAGCCTGATGGCCTAATCAGTTATATAAACTAGAAGCATGCATTTAGGACATTAGGACCTGGATGACCAGACATTTTTTGGAGACAAACGTTATTGTGCTTGGCCCTTAACACATCTGAGATAATTTTTCTAATGATACAATTGTACTAGATGGCATCAGGTTGGCATCTAGCACCACTGTTAGGATTCTAGCAGTTCTTTTTAATCAAGATATGTGCTTTAACTCAAATAAAACAAATTTCAAAGACGACTATTCGACATTAGTAATATATCTAAAATTAGGCAGATCCTGTCACAAAACGATGCAAAAAACAAGTTAATGCATCTCTTACCTTCAGATTTGATTAATTTAATTCTCTTTTATCAGCTGTCCTAAAATCTCTAAAGACAATTCAGCTGGTACAAAACGCTTCAGTTTATGTACTGACTAGAACTAGAAAAGGAGATCATTACTCCCGTATTGGTTTCGCTGCACTGGCTCCCTATAAAATCTAGAATATGATTTATTTTTTTTCTTTTCACCTTCAAAGCCCTTAATGGCCAGGTATTATCTGATCTTAAAGAGCTTATAGTGCTATATTACCCTTCGAGAACATTACGCGCCCAGAATGCAGGCCTGCTCGTGGTACCTACAGTGTCTAAATGTACTATGGGAGATAGAACCTTAAGTTATCAAACTCCTCTCCTTTGGCATCATCTACCAGTTAGGGTGTGGGAGGCAGACATCCTCTGTACTTTTAATTGTAGGCTTAAAACTTAACTTTTTGATAAAGCATATAGTTATGGTTACTCACCATATATCTTCCTTGGAGCTCTGTGAGCTCCCTAGTCTCCTAGGTTCCTCTGGTATGTCTGTGTGGAAGGCCTGCTGCTGTGGATTGCCCCTCCCGACTCCAAATGCTACAACTATTAATATCAGCCTTACATATATTGTCATTATTATAAATATTAAAGTAAATATTGGAGCTGCTCAACTTCAACCTCTATAATTAACATAATCAGTCCTCCCCATTTTATCATCACTACAGTTGCTAATATTGCTATTGTGTCATACTCAGCTTTTACTGATAATACTACACATATACAAAAACTGTCGTCAATATTGTGCTTTGCCTCTGTGCAATGTCTGTCAGCACCTGTGTGTCCCATCAGACTCAAAGCTGATCATTTGCACTTACTGACATTGTTTTCTTTTTTCTAAATCCTTGCTTGTGTTGTACTTAATCTGTGATGTATGTCGCTTTGGATAAAAGCGTCTGATAAGTGAATTGTAATATTTTAGAATTGTATACTTTTACCATTATTTCTGACTTTGTAGCTATAAATCAATCTTTTACATTGTTGTTGTTGTTGCTCTGTTAGTCTCCCACAAGACCAGAACAGTTTCGGGAGATGGCTGCCCAACACGAGTCTATTTTTGCTCGAGGTTTCTGTCTCTGAAAGGACGTTTTTTCTTGCCACTGTAACTTTGTTAAATATTGCTTAGTGCTGCCGTGCTCATGATGGATTCATGTTGGGTCTTAATATAACAAAGAGTAAGGTCTTTTACCTGCTCTTTTGTACAGTGTGTGTTGAGATAAAGTGTGTTATGAATTGGCGCTATACAAATAAAGATTGATTGATTGATCTGAATGTAACATTACTCCCTCTCTGTTAACACGTTTTTATAGTTTCAATCATGAATATGAAAGAGAAGAAATGTTTTCCAGCAAGTTGTTCACATGAACTACAAAAAGCTAATTTGAAAAAAATCTATACTTATAAAATGGAAATAAATATTTAAAAAAGTCTAAATAGGAGCATAGCTATGTATGTTAAGGTGCTCATTTAAATTACTGATTCTATAACAGCTGATGTCTTCTGGATTTTCACATCAGACTCCAGATCTAGGTATAACTGACAGTTCAATCATGACAAAAAGAAAGTAGATTATTATAATGTCTTATTTAGTTGGCAGTTCAAACATCCAGTAGATAGATGGATAAATACTATCTGCCTGTAATGCAGTGTGAATCCTGTACCCGCCTTCCAGTCAGTGACCTGGCCGACTCTTAGTTCACCTTTCCTGCTGACTCTCAGCCTGACTCCCCATATTCCGTCATGCAGAGCTGCTCTAAAGTCTTCTGTTCTTGCTGAGTTGATGAAAATCACTTCAGGACAATTAAGACGAATTATCTGTCTGTGAGTAAAGAACTGAAAGAGAAAGAGCGTCACAACCCTACAACCCAAGACTGGCCTCCTGTGCAGCCCTCCCCTGGTACGTTGTTCCTGCATCCTGTCTGTTTTCAACAGATCCTCAGTTAACACAGCAAACCCCAGAGTGCAGGTCCTGCTACTTTTGCAGGCGAGATAGAGACCTTAGCGTGGAGAAGATCCTTTGGATCAAAATGATGCACTTAATGAAGTTATTGCTCATTGGGAGCTGAACAGAACAGTGTGCGTCCCCTTTTTTCTGCAAGACAGAGACCATGTGCCCTTGGCCAACCCATGGTTCATTCTACCAAGAGGCTCCAGCTCACTGGTCTACCCCTGGCCCTCTCCTGGATCGGTTTCATCCATCAGTTCAACCTTCTGTAGAGAGGCTCTGCCTGATTGGTCATCCTCCCATGAGGTTCTACCCATTTGGTCAACCTCTTGCCAATCCTTAGGAGATGCTCCTTTCAACAGGTCAAGCGCCTGATTTCTCACCCCTGCCTTGCTTACAGACCACCTGAGGGGAAATGCTGGGTCCCTGTCCTGCCTCCAGGACTTTTTTTTTACCAGTTTTTCTAGACCTTGTTGTATGTTTTTAAAATATGTTTTTGCCTGAATCCCATGAACTCTATAACCTCAAGATTTTAAATGTGCCTTGAGGTAGCATTGAGCTTCTTACAGTCTGATTCAAGGTCCCCTGTGGTTGTATTAAACCCATAGTGTTGTATACTAATAAGTTAATTATGTTTAAAGCGTCAGTTTGGTCTTACAGGAGGATGTTGCCCTGCCCAGAGCAGACCCTGTAGACCAGTTTAAGCCTGTGGTGCCCTGGCCTCATGTGGAGGGGTTGGAGGTCGACCTCAACTCCATCAGACTCAAACATTGTGAGACTCCATCTTGAACATCCATAAACACACTGACTGCATTCACACTCCACCTGTGAGAGGAGGAGTCAGGAGCAGGTGTGAGATGACCTGATGGATCATATGTTCTGATGCTTTGGCTCCTGATTTTCCCTCCATCAGGGCCCAACAACCCCCAGAAAGTGGAGGAGCAGCCCAACGAGAAGCAGGTGATCCAGCAGCAGTACGTGACGTTCAGACCCCATAGTCACGCCTACACCAGCCCCGTCCTGAAGACAGGAATCCTGGGTAACTTTGAGCCTCAAGAACCAGAGCCTCCAGGGGTCCCTAACGGTCCTGGAGAGGGGGCCAAACCCTTCGTCCTGGGTCCAGAGTACAAAGACGCCGTACAGGCCTCCGTCAAAGAGTTTGGCTTCAACATGGTGGCCAGTGACATGATCTCTCTGGACAGAAGCATCAGCGACATTCGCCATGAAGAGTGAGTCACAGTGTTTACACTGTTAATAGATCAGTGTTTGTCTAAACGTCTGAATAATCATCACAGTCTGAGTGTCACTATCACATCACAGCAAACATGATGAATGAAATCACGCAGGGTCAGCTACTTTTAGATAAACAATCAAAGAAAGGAAGATATTCAGTAAAAACACAAATATAAATTCATGAATAATCTGTTGCACTTGTGGAGTTATCCTTCTACAAACACAGAGTGTTTGACTAATATATCCTGCAGCAAACATCCTTCACACACACACACACGGATGTGGGTGTGTCTGCTACACACTCACTCACTCACTCACTCACTCACTTACTCAGTGAACTGGTTTGACAGTCTTGGATAACACAGGTGGATCAGTCTTCACCTCCAGCAGAGACGTTCTGATATTCTTTATCACTGGTGTAAAGCTAAGATAATGTTAGCAGCAGCTTGGCTCATGGCTCCTCCTTACGATGAGCAGGTTAATCTGCACAAAAGCAGGACACAGTACGACATACCTCAGGTTTGGCTAACGCACTACCTAGTTCAGAGACACTGATTTATATACAAAGCTGCTGGACCAGGACTGTGGGTTGTTTTCTTTCCTCACATGATAATTAACCTGAGATCTGTTTTTCTTCTTCTTCTTCTTCTTCTTCTTCTTCTTCTTCTGTTATTGCTGTGACAGCTGATGTTGTGAAGAAGAAAAAGCGAATAGATTTTTGTGGGGGACATAAAATCATGTTATTGACATGTAGCATTGGTTGATATACCTGAAATCACATTTTATGCTGTATCAGTTTTTCTGATGTTTCTCACCTGTCCAGGTGTAAGTACTGGCACTATGACGACAGACTGCTGACCTCCAGTGTGGTGATCGTGTTCCATAATGAAGGCTGGTCTACACTGATGAGGACGGTCCACAGTGTGATCAAGAGGACTCCCAGGATATACCTGGCTGAGATTGTCATGATCGACGACTTCAGCAACAAAGGTCAGACTTACCTGCAGATAAATAAAAGTAGCATAAATTGTACAAAGGATTTATCATCCAGCAATGTCTGACCGAACCAGCAATATCTGATAAACTAGTACAGTCTGATTGAACCATTAATAACTGACTAAACATAAAGCCAATTCTTGACTGAACAAGCAATATCTGACTGATATAAGATGTGTGTGAGTGCAGCCCACCTGAAGGAGCGTCTGGAGGAATACATCAAACAGTGGAACGGTCTGGTGAAACTGTTCAGGAATGAGAAGCGAGAAGGACTCATCCAGGCCAGGAGCATTGGAGCCAAGAAGGCCACTAAAGGAGAGGTACCCGATGATGTGACATCTTAGGTCTCAGTTCTGCCCCTCCTACACTGTGATTGGACGGCTGGGTTTAAGATTACAGCAACCAGCGCGCCAAAGTGCTCAGTTCAGAAAGGAAACTCAACCTGTGGTAACACTGGCTAACGTTGGTGTTTGTATCCCTTTTAATGGATTTTCAAAAAGATAGATAAAGTATTCCCATTGTAGAAGAGAAATATGCTAAATAAAGAAGACATGTTTTTATGGACATATAGGATACATAAAGGGATATTAAACACCTGGATCCGCAGTCCCAGACATGAGCAGCAGAGCTGAGTATGTGGGTTGAGCCCATGAGAAACTTGCCAAAATTTTAGACATTGAGCCCCATATAGCTGGAATGGAATAATCCTTGTGTCAGAAAAAGTTGCTTTGAGATTGGTAGTCGAATTAAAGTCTTTCAATGAAGTGTCAAATATTTGACTATTCGAGGTTCCCCCTAAAACTGAGTCAAAATATCTGAGAACAAAATATAATTTTAAAAAACTACTCAAAGAAACTCTGGAGTCGCTGAAAGTTTGACTAAAGACAAATAACCATTGCATTTAATATGAAGTATACAACTCATTCTACAAGACAGACAAACTGGGTTTTTAGCCTCTACACTGTACTGTTTTCAAGGTGTTAATCTACCTGGATGCTCACTGTGAGGTTGGAATCAACTGGTACGCTCCTCTGGTCGCTCCTATATCAAAAGACAGGTAACAGATATTGTGTGTGTGTGTGTGTGTGTGTGTGTGTGTGTGTGTGTGTGTGTGTGTGTGTGTGTGTGTGTGTGTGTGTGTGTTCAGGAGAATGAGCAGAATGCCTCTGAAATCGTAGAGGAAACATTGACTTCATTACCACCGGGACACGCCCCCTCAGTCGGACAGAATGAAACATGATTGCTTTAAGTATGGGAAACAGCAAAACAGGCGATTATCTGCTGTAATTAAGGTCATTTGGACTCCACACAGATCCCTACAGGTTACTAAAGAGACGGTAAACAGTGGACATTATTATGTGGCCAAAAATCATGTTTCCTGACATTTTTATGTCCCTCTTTTAAAGCAGGGGAAGTTCACAAAGCAAATCCTTTTGGCACTCAAAAGGTTGGTTAGATCAGCGATGGATATGAAACTTATAAATAATAAATAAAGCTGGACTGTAGTCAGGGACAGAGATCCACTTTCTCCTAATTGCAGTGAGGAATTTAGCTTCCGTAGTGTGTAAAAAGATTGCCTCAGTTTCTGTGGAGTATGGAGTATGATTGAGCTAGAAATACATTTTCTTTGTTAACTCATGTTTTCTGATCCAAGCTCTGAGCACACTCACAGAAAAGGGGTCGATTTATGGTCATTTGCAGCTTCTTTCAGCTTTCTGCTTCAAACTGCTATGATGAGGAGTGATGATGAATGAAATTTTAAATAAACAGAGCCTAATGGTACTCACTCTGCAGAGAGCTAACAGCAAGTCCCTGTTCTTTTGTGTCTCCATCTCCGCCCCTCTATCCACCCCACTTCTCTGTGCTGTCACTGCTGTCTGTGTCCACCTGTTTGGAACCTGAATGTACACTTTCCCAACATCCATCCACTCCCATTATATCCTGTATGCATGGCCTCACCCCGCCTCTGTCAGAACGGTGTGTACGGCGCCTTTGGTCGACTCTATCCTGGGTACGACTTATAGCATCGAGACCCAGGGTGGAGGGGACAAGGACAACTTTGCTAGAGGTGCCTGGGACTGGAGCATGACATGGAGGAGAATTCCTCTGACAGACAAAGAAAAAGAAAGGAGAAAGACGCGCACTGAGCCATACAGGTACACAAAACAAACATGTCTGATGACTGATGTTGACAGGGTGGACTCGGACAAACAGATCAAAACTAGAGCACAACTGGTATCTAATATTTAAACCTTTAGCATAACTACAATGTATAGTGAAATATACTGTATTATGTAGTCATGTAAAGAAACTATGTCATCAGCTCCCCATTTCCTAATTTGCTGCTGTGAAACAGTTGTCTCATGTGGTGGAAATAAAAGAGCTGTGGAAGGCAGGAGGAATTATAGTTATATAGATTATATAGATCTTTATTTAGAAACATAAAAATCGTTTTTTTCGGCAAAGAAAAATATTTAATTATTAAGTTCATAAATTATTAGATTAGATATACTTTATTTTCCCCAGGGGGAATTTTGCATTATGCAAAAGTGCAGAGAAAACACACAGCTTTGTGCAACTTACATACAATAAAACAACACAGCATAGTAAGACGAAGATGTATTTACCAAGTTGATATGGTCTGTGTGGATTTACCCATGAACTAAATTTGAGATATTTGTTTACACATGTATGTGTACCTGCAGGTCTCCTGCTATGGCGGGGGGTCTGTTTGCTATAGAGAGAGACTTCTTCTTTGAGCTGGGTCTGTATGATCCGGGACTGCAGATCTGGGGAGGAGAAAACTTTGAAATATCATACAAGGTACACACAGAGAACTTCACTTTATACACACCTTATAATAAAGTTTCAGAGTATTTTTCACATTCTGTACTTTAACGTGTGTGTAGATCTGGCAGTGTGGGGGACAGCTGCTCTTCGTGCCATGCTCCCGGGTCGGTCATGTTTACAGAATGGAGGGATGGCAGGGTAACCCCCCGCCTGCAAACATTGGATCATCACCGACTCTGAAGGTAGAGCGGCTCACAGTGAGACCAGTGGTGAAAGGTGGTAACAACAGGCAGGGAACAGGCTATTATGACGGTCCCTTGGGATCTTACAGTTCAATGTGTAACCTTGGTTACTTTTGTATTTGGAAAGTACAGAGGTCAAAGAGAAAGCTATTTGAACCATGGATTATGATGGCGCTGTGACTGTCAAAGTTCTGACAGGTGACAACAAGCAGCTGAGATTCAAAAGAGTCTAAAATTTAGTGAGCTTTGCATCCGTTTCCTCCTGTTCTTTTCTCTCCTGCCCTTTTTGCAACCGCTTCTCTGTTTGAATGGCATGACTGCTGGCTTGGCTTGCCTTGGTGTGTTCAGCTTATTAGACTTGCTAGATGTTGCGCTTTAACTGGCCGGAGTCTTGCTGTCTTGTCACATGATTAAATAGAGAATTAAGATTGGACAGCGACATACACACTTCCAGAAGCCGCACTGTCTGCACTGCCTATAGTTACACCCTTGGCTGAGATTTACCTGCAGCTCACAGTGAGACACACACAGACAGAAGTCAACTCATGACAAAAACAGAAATGTTAAGGGCAACATTTTGGAGCAGGAACAGGTGGACTGTAAGCTGGGGGCCAGGCAGGGGTTCAAGTGTCCAGCAGGGAAGTATGCACAGGATGCACACAAAGTAACAAGTGTGGCGACACAGTGAGAATCTCTGAGCAACCACAGGTAAGAAGACAGGAACCCCCCCCCCTTTTTGTGTCGCCAAAACATCCAAGGGGACAGACCGACAGGAGATTGAGGAAATGACCCGTACCATGATGCGGCAGGTCAGAGGCAACTGGTGATCACTCTGAGGAGGAGTGCTGGAGAGTCTTGCATGACTTTGCTAAGAACAATCTGGCAATGAGTGACTGAGCAGGAGGCTTAAATACTGGCTTAATGAGCTGGTTGATGAGTTGGAAGTGGCTGGCAAGTAGAGTGGGACAGAGGTGAGGAGAGTGTAAAATTACTGAGAGAAGCTTAGCCATGGAGCAGACTGTGACATCATTGATGTGCTCATGACATTATGAATTGTATGAATTGTATCAGTCCTTGGTTTGGCTGTGGTTGCATTTCATTTTCTTCACTAATGTTGTGAATTTGATTAATCAAAATGTTTTTGTGTTGTTGTTTTTTCTGTCTTGTTTTGCTTGTATGGACCTCAGAATAGTTGCTAACAACTAATGGGGATCCAATGTAAATAAATAAATCATAGGTGTTAGATATTGTTGGCTTTTTGCAGATTTCTGTTTGCTTTCATGAATTACATTAAATTGTGTGTGTCTGTGTGTGTGTGTGTGTGTGTGTGTGTGTGTGTGTGTGTGTGTGTGTGTGTGTGTGTGTGTGTGTGTGTGTGTGTGTGTGCGTGCGTGTGTGTGCGTGCGTGTGTGTGCGTGCGTGTGCGTGCGTGTGTGTGCGTGTGTGTGTGTGTGTCTGTGTGTGTGTGTGTCTGTGTCTGTCTGTGTGTGTCTGTGTGTGTGTGTGTGTCTGTGTCTGTCTGTGTGTGTCTGTGTGTGTGTGTGTGTGTGTGTGTGTGTGTGTGTGTGTGTGTGTGTGTGTGTGTGTGTGTCTGTGTGTGTGTGTGTGTCTGTGTGTGTGTGTCTGTGTGTGTGTGTGTCTGTGTGTCTGTGTGTCTGTGTGTGTCTGTGTGTGTGTGTCTGTGTGTGTCTGTGTGTGTCTGTGTGTCTGTGTGTGTCTGTGTGTGCCTGTGTGTCTGTGTGTGTCTGTGTGTGTCTGTGTGTCTGTGTGTGTCTGTGTGTGCCTGTGTGTGTCTGTGTATTTGAACAGAACTATGTGCGTGTGGTGGAGGTGTGGTGGGATGAATATAGGGACTACTTTTATGCCAGTCGTCCTCAGACTCGGGGGCTGGCCTACGGAGACATCAGTGAGCTCAAACGCTTCAGGTAACACACAAATATTATTAGGATACAGATTCATTCTGTATACCCTTTAAATGAAACCTCTAAAAGTCTTTCGTTTTTTTTACCGGTCACTTGTCTGAAGCCCCTCCCTGTTGGGTGAGCCATGTTTATAACATCTTAGACAAACAGACACAGTGTAAGAGCAGTTCAGGAACAACTGTCTTCTCAGATTTTTGAATCCGAATCTTGTCAGTGGCTTATGGTTAGGTCTTCTTCACAATGTTGGTGAGCCAGCATGATGCGCGGAACGTGCTAATAGATGAGTTTAAGGAAAAAAACAGTGACCTTTTAGCAAAGAGCCCTGCAGCCCCCACAGTTTGAGCTACTGTAAGTGTCAATGTGGAGGTGATAAGGCAGTCCCAACAACAGTTTTTCCCATTGCTGAAATGTAAGTACAGGGAGCCTGTTTATTTTTCTGTTCCTTGTGGGGGGGGGGGGTATTGTTATCAATACAACTACATTTCTTGTAATTCTGGGCCACTGTTCTCTCTTATTCAGACTTTTGATTAGGGGTTACTGATTGTTAATAACTGTCATGTTTGCTGTGTTTGTGTTTCCTCCTCATCAGGGAGAAGCATCGCTGTAAGAACTTCAAGTGGTTCATGGAGGAGATCGCATACGACATCGCTTTACGCTTTCCTCCACCTCATAAAAATGTGGAGTGGGGGGAGGTAGGAACACACAAAAACATGTACATAAGGTTGTCAACATTCTTGATACTTCAGTACTTTTTGATACCGTATGTTTTAAAAAGGATACAATCTCTTTTATTTTACTGATCGATAGTATCAAAACCTATTGAAACTTTAAATAAAAACTGTTGCAGTCTATTTCATAAGACGTGTGTCGGAGAGGAATAAATGCAATAAACTCTTACATTTTTGCAAGCAAAAACTCCAGCAGTCTAAATGCACCAATTCATTGCCAACTTTTCCAGGTTTCCATTTTTGATACTTTAAAAACAAGAAATGATCCAATATTGGGTGCCTAGACTTTCTTTTTTAGTTGCAGTGGTATCAAACAGGTTAATATGATTTGATTTTTACTACAATCATAATGTGGTTTAAAAATCTGGTATGATGACAACCCTACTCGTACAAACAAACACACACACATACATAAACACACCTTTGTTGACATGTTCTGTGTTTGTTTCAGAGTTGTGTTCATCATGTTTTGACTGTGTGTAGATCCGGGGCTTAGAGACCAGTTACTGTATCGACAGTATGGGACACAAAAAGGGAAATGTGGAGATCGGACCCTGCCACAGGATGGGGGGAAACCAGGTACTGACCCACATGGAGCTTCTGGTCTGGTTTGGACCTGTCTAACGAACAGCAGAGCAGCTTCAGTCAGTATGACTCACTTTAGAAAAGGGAATCTCTAACACCCGCGTCTGTAGGAGGGGCTCTTTGTTACTTTATCCATATCACATTAACTTCAGCTTTTACCTCGAACACTTTAATTGATGCAAACAAAATAAACCAACAGATCCTTCTTCTTAAAGCTGTTTGGTTAATGTCAAACAGACACATCTGATCCATGACCAATAGACTGCCATCCTCCCTTTCTTAAGTTTTAAATCCTGACAGTTTCGAAATAGTCGTCCACAAACCAATGGGTGTCATTACAGTGACTACTAGACCAAATGATTGAGACTGAGAAGATGTCTCACTGATACTTTTCTCTGCAATTAATCTGTGTGTGTGTGTGTGTGTGTGTGTGTGTGTGTGTGTAGTTGTTCCGTATCAATGAAGGTAACCAGCTGATTCAGAATAATTACTGTTTGACTAGAGGAGCTAATGACACAGCTATCATTATCACACGATGTGACGGGAACAAGTACTCTGAGTGGCAGTACTTCAAGGTACACACACACACACACACACACACACACACACACACACACACACACACACACACACACACTCACACACACAGATCAGTACTGAACAATACCTCACTGTGTTTTTATCTCTGTGTTTTCAGGATATGAATCGGTTCACTCACATGCCAACAGGTAAATATCTGCCCTTTTATTTTACTCATGCATCGCATTCATCACCATCATCACAAAAAGTCTTACATACCACCAGCCTTTATCTAAACTGAGGAAAAAATAAAGAAACTTTCAGTAATATACACTATACTGAGTGTAGTCCTGCAGTACCTCTTGACACCACAGGATGGCCCTAAAGAGAAAGATAAACTTTATTGATCCCCATGAGGGAAATTTTTTCATTACAGCAGCTCAAGAAAACAGGAATAAAATTATTAAAAATAAAAATCAAACATATGTACATAAGTTAAATAAAGGCAGAAAAAATACAATAATAGAATACTACAGGAATACTACAGAAGAACTTACTGAGACTGTGGATCACATCAGCATCACCCCTTTCACCATTTAGCTCTATGACCACAATAACGTTGTTGTGTCTCTGTAATGTTGTCTTGTCTCTAAAGTATCAGTGATGTTGTCATGTCTCTGTAGTGTAGCTGGTAATATGTATTTTTGTTCTTGTCTCAGGGAAGTGTCTGGACCGCTCTGACATGCTCCACTCAGTGTTCATCTCAGACTGTGATAACAATAAAACCAGTCAGAGGTGGGAGATAAACAACATCATGGTTGTGTGACAAACTGTAAACATGTTCCTTCAGCTTTGGATCTGAATCACTCAGAGAACATCACTGTGAAAAATTCGGGGGAGGGGGGGGACCTGCTGTGAAAAGCAGAATGAAAACTACTAACTATCAACACTATAAAAACTCTGTTGAGGGGTGATGGTGGCGCAGTGGTTAGTGCGCGCGCCCCATGTATGCAGGTGGCCCGGGCTCACATCCCACCTGTGGCTTCTTTCCCACATGTCATTCCCCTCTCTCTCTCCCTGATTTCCGACTCTATCCACTGTCCTATCTCTCCATTTAAGGCACAAAAAGCCCAAAAATAAATCTTTTTAAAAAAAGAAGAGGAAATAAAAGCATGTAAGACGATCTCCACGTTTTTCCTTGATAAAAGATAGTCTCCTGAGCTTAGTTCAGACTGAGGTTCTCATCAAAGATGAGGCAAAGATTTTTGCAAGTTATATTTTGGGTCAGAAAGCCGAAAGGTATCGCTGCTTTTTCTGAGCAAGAGCCAATATGGATCATCTCCGTTTTTTTCAAGGTTTTTTTCAAGGACATTTTGAGACATCCAGCATTTAAGGTCTCAGATGCAGTTGTTCAGCGTGTTAAGTAGTTAAAATCATCTGTATTAAAAGAGAGGTACAGCTGAGTATCATCCGCATAGGAGTAGACACTCACATTGTGGCTGCGGGATATGTCCCAGGGTAGCATGTAGAGGGAGAAAAGAAGCACTCAAATCTAAAAGCATCAGCAGCAATCAGCAAAACATTTCACACTTCAAGTCATATGCTTTGCTATAAACACATATTGAAATTCCTCAAAGAGCTAATTTTTGTAAAAATTTAAATAAATAAAAAAAAGCAATCAACTATTCAGCCACATTATTTCAAGAACCTTCGAAAGTAAGAGAAGTTTTTAAATTGGTATAAAATTGTCCAGGCGATTAGGGTCTTGTGATTTTTTTCGGGAATAGCTGAATTTTTTTCTTTTTTTTAATCAACGAAAACAGATCCAGTTTTAAGTGATGTGTTTATTAAAGTGAGGATATATGTGCTGAAAGGCTTATTTACTTCTTTCAGAATTCTTACTGATGGGATGAGAAAAGCACACATCATTCACATCTCTGAATCTTGCAATTATCTGATTATCTCAATAGATTAAATGTATTGATCTCTCATTGTATGTCGAATTTAGTTGGAAACAGAGAAAATTAAAATTAAAATTTCAAACTGACTCCCATTCAATATGCTCAAATTTGGAATTCCAAAATTCTTTGTCCAGAGGAATTGTGGTTTCTGGGTACATTTTTGTGTGATAAATACACACCATTCACCATTAAGTCTAATTTAAATTGTGGGTTCACCTAACCCACCCCTCAACAATCCTGAAGGTAGCTTTGTGCAGGGGCCATGCTAATCTTCTCTGTATCGATTCCAATTTATTAGGTATGCTGCCTGAGCAAGCACATTACTTGTCTGTGGCCGTCTGTCTTTTGAATGGCGTGTCAGCAGAGTGACCCCTTCACCGCGGTGCAGGCCACACCCTTAAACATCACCAGTGTGTGGGATGAGGACAAATACCTTACCCCCACTCTATAATTGAAATAGTTTGCACTTCCTTCAGTTCTGGTTATATGTTTATGAAGAAGGTGGGGCATGAGGCTCAGCATCTTCTAGATTCTTCAAAAGGTCTTTCTGGGGATGTGACAATTCATAAAAGTAGCCAGTGAACACTTGGGTCACAGAACAAGAAACCTTGATTCACATGTCCGTTCTGGCAATACGCCGCAAGGCACTCTCCAGCGCAATGTTTTCTAGATCACCCGCACCACAGCTTCTGGATAAGGCTTCGCTTCCTTGCTGCTCGTAGTGGCACTGCAATGACATTGGCTGTGAAAGGTGGCAATACATGCCAGATATTTCAGCCAATTACACTACATACATGACACACATCCAGGATGTCCACAACTGCTCAGGACAACACAGGACAGCTCAAAATGTGGAAACGCTTCACGAATTTGCGTGTCATCCTTGCATTAAAAGTAACTACAAACTTAATCCGTGTTTCTTTAGAAATGATGTGTAAGTATACAGAAGTCACTTAATAGTTGTGTCGCAAAAAAGTATGTTATCTTTAACCCGGCTATTAATCTCTTTATTATTATTATAAACATTTATGTTAGGAGAAATTGTGTTTATGAGAATATTTCTTTTTTTTCTCCGAAAATCTGAATTAGAATATTTCTTTATTGCCAAGTACATTTACACATACAGGGAATTAAACTTGGTGTTTTGGTGCAAAACAATTAGCAAAGGACTAAAGCTAAAATAGTAAGAAGCTATAACAACTTTATCCAAAAACAATAATGTACAATTACTTCAGGTAAAAAGACAGTAGCACATGGAAAATCAAATAAAGGAGGGGTTAAATAATCTAACAGTATAAAGTACATAGCCTACAAGTATAAATGAAAGAATAAAAACAAAAAATCTATGCTAAATACAATTACAAATAAACCAACAAAGATGCAAACACATGTAGGAAAATCATCATTTTAACAGAGGTCTCAGGGAAAAGGTTTTAATATTTCATTTATTTACATCATGCAGAGCGGTGTGAAGACGTCTCCGGTGAGTCGTGCCCTCTCCTCATTGGTTGACCACACATCAACAGAAGACGCAAACCCGGAAGAGTTGGCTGTGTGTGGAACGTTTCCGTGTTGACGATAAGTTTAGTTCAGATTTAATCAGCGAAAGAACAAGACAGAGGGAATAATGAAGCAGTTCATCACAGTCGCGTTTGTTCTTTTCGTGTTGGTGGAGAATACCCTGAGCTGGGATCAAGGTTTGTTTCACTTTATTTGTCATTTGAATGTGATGTTTCAGGTTAGCGAAGTGAAGCTAACGTCACAACAACACATGGGGAGTTAAATAACTTGAATTGTTGCTTATTTTATTCAAAACAGCACTATAAAACTTAATATTAAAACAAACATTCACCCTCCAAGTCCACACAGTTTCAACATGAGTCTGGTTCTGCTCGAGGTTTCTGCCTCTTACAGGAAGTTCTTCCTCGCCACGGTAACTTCGTCTCTTCTGTAAATCTGAAAGTGAAGACATGCTGCACCTCTTGCATGCAAATGTGTGGATATTTTGGATTACCCTGCAAAAATAGCAAATTTTAGATCAAAGTCCGGAAGGGTTGGGGGGGGGGGTGTTAGTCACTGTGGTCCCCTCTCTGGAACAAGCTCCCTGTTCAGCTGAGGTCCATCACAATAGTTTCTACTTTTAAAGCTGAACTCAAACCCTTTCTAATCTCCCAAGCATAGTTACCGTATGTGTGTCTATAATGAATAACTCTAAATGAATTAAGTATTGTCAAAGCCCTCTCATTAACATGATCATTTAACCTGCAGGTGGTGTGTTGCTGAGGGACGTCCAGGTGCTGACTCTGTATAAAGACCGGTACACAGCGGCGCGGCGCTCCAGCCCTGTCCCTCAGCTGAAGTGTGTTGGAGGCTCTGCAGGATGTCACGCCTTCATCCCCGACGTGGTCCAGTGTCAGAACAGAGGCTGGGATGGAGTGGATGTCCAGGTGCGAGAGGGGATACTTTGGATTCATTTTTTAAATCGGCTAATCTATAAGTCCGCAACAACCTTCACGTCAGAGCGCTTCTTGTTGATGTTTGTTGTTGCTAAGTTGTCTTGCAGCACTTCTTCAACAAACAAAAACAACTTAAAGTATAGTTAGTGGGACCTAACATATCCATACGATTCATTAAAACTTTATTTAATTGTGTAGAGAACAATAAAAAAAAAGGAAAATCAGGCATCCAGTATCGGCTTTGAAAACGCGCGAGTGGCAAACATCTGTGTAGCAACACTACTTATCTGACAAGGCACACTCGTGTTTGTATCAAGGTAAAACATATTAATACACGAGTCTGTACATTTTATTTGTTTCTATTTGTACATATTACTGCTCGCCTCAGTTTTCTCAATAATGTTTTCTACTGTTGTGTTTGTGTTGCGGTAACGCCCTTATACATGTTGGAGTGATATAAACACACAAACAGAGGAGTGTGACTCTTTAATGTTTCCCCCTACCTCAGTGGGAGTGCAAGACAGACATGGACGCTGCGTTCAGGTTCGGTCGGCTCGAGGTGAGCTGTGAGGGCTTCACTCAGCCTGATGATGCTTTCATCCTGCCGGGGTCGTGTGGTCTTGAATTCACCCTGGAGCTGACAGCGGAGGGACGCAGTACGACGCAAGGGTCATCAGGGGGGTTCAAGGGCTTTGGAGGTAGGAGGCGATAGAGGAGAGGGAGCAAGGTATTTATGATTAATAAAGCTTCATCATCACACCAGTACAACTTCTATTCTTTGTGTTTGTGTTGCTCAGATCTGGGGGGCTTTGCCTCAAGTTTCTTCAGTGGTTTCCAAGGAAACAAACATAATCAGCATCATCACCATAATCAGGGCGGTCAGAGTTCAGGCAGTGAGGACTCTTCAGGTCTGTTGGTTCCCGCTGTGCTACTCGTGTTGGCCTTCGTCGTCTACAAGCTCTTCCTCAGCGGGAACACAGCCCAGGCGGGACAGCAGGGAGGGCAGGAAGGTTACCATGACAACCAACAAGGCTTCAACACGGGGCCCCCTCCTCCTGGATTCAGACCTGACTTCACAGGTACAAGGAAGAGAACAGAGAAAGGATTGTTGAACTGAGAGCAGAGGCGTGTCTGTGTGATCAGGTTGTCACAATGTTCGATCTTTCGATACTTTTTGAGACCATGTTTGTTAAAATGATACAATCGCCGTTATTTAATGATTGATAGTATCAAAAAGTAATGAAGCTTTAAGAGAACTACATCTTTTACTTAAGACAGGTGTAGGAAAAGAGAGATTCCATTAATAACTGCAGACAAACTCCTAGACACTGTCTAACTTGTATAATAACATATGGAAACATTGCCAATGTTTTTTGTGCAATGTAGACAGTCTGCTGAAATTTGCCTGTAATATTTGGTCATTAAAACAATAAATGACCTGATATTGGGCGCCTAGAACTTCTATTTCTGTTGCCGTGGTATCAAACAGGTATCGATAACATTTGATTTTTATTAGAATCAAAGTTTTAATTCTTGTATAATGGCGACTTTAATGAGTCTGTGTTCTCACTGAATCGTGACTCCTCTCTCTCTCCATGATCAGGCTCTCCTGGGGGGAACCCGTCCTATGGTTTCCACAGTGACTACACTCAGGGACCACATTACCCAGGAGGCCGACCGGCCCCGGCGGGCACAGGAGGATTAGGAGGAGGAGGAGGAGGCTTCTGGAGCGGCATGGGGACCGGTGGGCTGCTGGGATATCTGTTTGGTAATCAGAGGTCAGTGAGGAGATAAAGCGGAGTTTATTTAAAGAATCAGAAAAGTTTAATTGTTTGGCTCAGAAGAATAAAAGTATAAACATTGTTATTATTAAACACTTAAATTTGTCATGTTTACTTCCTGTGTCTGCAGCGTGTGAGAGCCAATTAACAGTCACAGACAGTCAGGCACTTTCTGGTTGGCTCTTATTAACCGTGTTTTTTGTGAATTTACCTATTGTGAATATTTCTGTGTTATCAAATTGGTACATTTTTTCTGTTTCTGTTCTGCAGGAATCAGCCCCACAATTACAACTACCCTAGATACAACAACAGCAGAGCGCCTCCTGCTGGACCCTCCCCCCCCTCCTCCTCCGGGACTCGCACTGCTTCAGGTATACATACACACACACTCTCATACACACACACATGATTCAGTTAAACTAGGGCTGCAACGAACGACTTTTATGATTATTAGTCATCAATCCTTGAAATTATTAATAAGCTAATGTTTGGAGCAATTACTTACTGGCTCTTGTTTCGCTATCAACTTTACTCTTTCAATTCAAAATATTCCATTAAAAATCTTAATTCAAGCAATATTTTTGTCTTGGCCTCAAAACATAACTAACATAAGTTGGAGGCTTTTTTTAAATCTGTAGTTTGGTTACTATAGTAACATGGTAAGAGTTTGCTCCACTGTTTTGTGTTAGGGAGTGGACGAATAAAAAATGATAGAGAAAGGTGAAGAGTTCTCGGAGGAAGGTTTTAAGGTGAAGGACTGAAAACACATCTGAGAGTATAATCATAGCTTCACTTTGGACTGTTGAGATAAATGTCAAAGATGTTTTTGAAAAGTGAGGTGTCCAAAGTGTCTTCTCTTTAAATGCTCTCATCATACCGATGTGCTCCCATGATAAGCAAGGTCTGCTTTACAAATCTCACAGGCATCCTTTAGTTATATGAATAGAGCCGTTCTTTTAGCTGAGTGTGTGTGTGGTAGAGCGAGTATCAGTAGCTGATAAAAACAGCAGGACAGATCAGTTCAGTTTAAGCAGTGTGTGAAAATAGTTCAAGAGTTTTGGGACACGATGGTGTTCTGCTGTGCTTTTTTTCATGTCGCTTTTTTCTTTTACATGCAACTCTCCACAGAGATAGTAAGGATGTGAGATGCCTCACTCCTCAAAGACTCAGCCCTGGAAACAATATTACGTCTGGACACAGCATGAAAAACATGTAACCATGAATTATCGACAACCAATTTTGTCAGTTATTTTTGTTGAGAACCTAAAGTAATCGTTGCATCACATAAAAAAATAAAATAAAAGTAACAACAACAAAAAGTAATTATGACTTTAACTTGTCAGGCTGTCACAGAAAAGAGGAATAAAAACAAACTAAAAATCAGATCACATAAACAATACTTTTCTTTACCAAATAATTACAGTTTTAATTTAGCGGAGTTTTTACAGGTGACGTCTACAGGTGATCATCATACAGAGACATACTGCAGGTACATCTGACTCACACTCATTGTGTTGTTTGTCTGTCAGGGTTCGGTGGCACGAAAAGGAGATAGAAGAGCAAGAGAAGAAGCTGATGATGGAGGCCGAGCACAGAGGATTTTTTATCAATTTTTGTTTTCAGGTAAAGGATTTCGAAGATTGTTTCCCTGATTCTCTCTGACATCACTATCTGTGATCGTTTGCTTTGGGCTTGACAGGTCTTAGTTTACCTGCAGCTCTCAGTTTATCTGTGATCGTTTGCTTTGTGCTTGACAGGTCTTAGTTTATCTGTGATCGTTTGCTATAGACCCATCAGGTCTATGCTTACCTGCAGCTCCCGGACTTTTACTATAAACATCATGTATGGACTCTGAAAAAAATATTTAAAATCTGAAAGAACTGTAGAGGATGTTGTTTATGTGCATGTGTGCGCGCGTGTGTGTGTTATATTTTATAAATAAACTATAAAATGAGACATTAAAATGAGTATTTTTCCTTTTGTTCTCTAAATGTGAAAAATAAAAAAACACAACCTACCTGAAACACCTGAGGTCAACTCTGACTAAAACTCTTTCTATAAATGAGTTGTGTTTGGCTGTCAGCAATGAAGCAGCGCCTCCTGCTGTCCACACACTAAAGTGAAAGATCTGTATTTATTGCATTTTGCAAAGGTGTAATGAGGAACAGAAGGGTTTCAAGGTTTCAACAAAAATCAGTTTGCTGTAGGAGGACGTGTCTGACGTGTAGTAACCATAGGGTAGAAACTGGGATTAGTGCCAGCTGTTATACCTGTAGCTCGTGTAGGGCACAGCAGAGGGCGGCAGACGACTGCTGCTTTGTGTTTGTGACTGCAGTTAAACAAAAGAACAAGAAGCAGGAACAACATCCGCCTCTCAGGAAACTCGGAAACTCTCAGGAACTTTCACATTTTGAGTTCTGATAGATTGATTAGATTTGAAGTGATGCTCTCCGCTTTGCTGCATGTGACGCTGCCGCTCGCGTTCTGCGTCATGTTGACGCGCTGCCACTTGTTTGACGCAGTGGCGGTGGATTTGAAGTACGATCATTACGCGGAGCGGCGCGTGGATCACTTTCCTGCATTCCTAGCGATGCCCTGTAACTCTCTGGTCAATCTGCTTTACGTCATTACAGGTCTCTACTGGCTGCTGCGTCACAGCGACGTCACAGAGCCAAAGGAGGGCCGGTACCTGAGACAGGTGTTCGCCTTCATGTCCATCTTTTACGCTGCCGTGCAGTGGACGCGCCTGGCGGTGCTGCAGCGCGCTCCCGCAGTGCTGGATCAGTGGGTCACATTACCGATCTTTGCTTGGGTGCTGGTGTGGATCAGCTTCATAGAGCGCGGGCCCGCGGGGTGGCGCGCGTGGCACGCGGCAGTGCTCGAGCTGCTCTCGGTTCTTAGTTATGGTCTGGCGCTGCTTCACGAGCGCGGCTTCGAGGCGGCACTGGGCGGTCACGTGCTCCTGGCGGTGTATAAAGGGGTGCGCCTGCAGGTGACACACGGGGACGCACGCTCGTGCAGGTACCTGCTCTCGCGGTGTTGTCCTGTTCCGGGTTCGTGGTCCTGAAGCTACTGGACCTCCCGCTGGCCCGGTACTGGATCTTTCAGAGACTCACGGGACACTTCTGGTCCAAAGTCTGTGACGTCACTCAGATCCACTTCAGCCTCTGTTTCCTGACTGATCTGACAACCAGGACCGGGAAGGCCGGGTCTAAGAAGGACTGAGGGACCAGCAGAGACCCTGGTACCAGAGGTCACCAATAATTAAATATAAATCAATCATTCCTCATGAACATTTCCATTGAATGCTTTCAGGGTCTCTGCTGGGCTTGATCACGTGGAGGTGGGGTTGATTTCTGATCTATTCCTAAAAAGAGTCAACTGATTAGAAGATGTAATTGTGATCAATCACAGAAACATTTGAAGAATGGAGAGAGGTTAGAAAAAGGAAAGGTTTCAAGACTGATGCAGAGCTGGCTAAACACTGAAGCTTCAGTGTCCGTGACAAGGCAACCTGCGTGCACATCGACTCTGGGAAAAAGGGGGCGGGGGCAACAGCTCCCTTCAATGTTTTTAATTTTTCAAATGCTCGGTGTCAAATTGAAATCTTGCTCCTTTAAGGTGAACGATGTTCTGTCTTAATTTGCACATGAGGCTTGAAAGTCGATTAAGCTGGCGACATAAATCACGTTTTCATGTTATGTTGACAGCACTAATCTGTTGTTCAAAAATTAACATTTTTTCTTTGCATTATTCACGTTCTGACAAACACTGCATCTTTTTGTAATCTTAACCAGTTGTCATTTTGTGAAAATCAAAGATCTAAATGAAAATATTTTATTTGGAAGTTGAGAGAATGTTGTTAAGAATTGTTGGAGCTGTATGATTATTAAAGTAAAATAACAGACAGAATAAAATGTGTTTTAAACAGTTCATGTCTCGTTACACTCTGAGGTTAGCCGTTCATACTCTTAACACAGTGGTTCCCAAAATTTGGGTTAGGACCCACTTGGGGGTCGTGAGATGCCTTCCAAAATAATATAAAATAATATTTTCAAATTGTATATTCTCCCCAATAATGTAAACATAATATACAAAAAGGCTAATTCATTTCAAATAGAGCCCAATTAATTGAGTGAAATGAAAATAAAATCAATGTGTAATAATACTTAAATGTAAGTTTGCACATGACAGCAACAATGCAGTTGTCTGCTGATCTTTACACACAAAGATGAACACACCTGTTAGTCTATTTATTAGTTTTTATGTCCACTCATTGCTACAATCTATACATGGAAATTTCTTGTAATCTGCTTCTAGCCTTTCTTACAATAAGTTAGTTTAAAATGATATAATGGTTGTTAGGCTGTTGTATTTATTTGTGTTGTTCTTTTGTGTTAAAAGTGTTTGGATAGGCCTATTGGTACGTGTGTGGCCGTGCGCTACGTGATGTGACTTAACGAGCTCCAGGGGCAGAGGGGAGACTCTGGCACCGTTACTTTAACGGTCGTGAGCTGAGAAGTTTGGGAAGCCCTGCTCTGCCAGACTCTTAAGAGGAGTGTGTGACAGAGAGGGTGAACCTATTTAATGATGAGATAAAACAGATCATTTTAATCCTCTGACATGTTTAATGACACTTTATAAACACTGAACATGTCATTACTGACATCACATGTTCAACACAGAGCCAATTACATCCAAACACCTACACACACAAATACTTCTGATATATTGATCTATATACTGTATATATATATATGTTTGAACTTAACATCTTTTTACACACAGCCTTTGTTTTCTGATCTCTCTCTCTCTGAGAACAGAGACTGATGACATCACACACACTGACACACCTGGACACAGTTAAAACACGGCAGGTGAAAAAATAAAATCTGAGTTTTCTGTGTAACCATGGAAACAAACATGGAGAGTTAACCTCAGGACATCACGTGTCTTGTTATATTCTGGACAGATGATTTAGTAATAAAGTGACATTCAGAGTGACAGAGCCACCAACATGATCAAAGGGGAGAGCGAGCGCACCTGTGCTGATTTAATCCAACATTTACCTTCACACACTGCCAGTCTCCATGGCAACAGGAGCATTTAAAGTGCTTTAAAGGAAGAGTTCAGGATACATTTATGTGTTAAACCAACAGTCTGAATGAATGACATGTGTTGTGAATGAACAGCACAGAGACAGCTGCAGGAGGGGTTAGCCCAGCTTACAAACACTGGAGGTAGGTAGGAACAGTTAGCCTGTTAGCTAGCTATCTTTTTTTACCTGTTGTATGTTATGACTGAGCACGATTGTCACATACACCTCCATGTCCTGACAATTCACATGATATTTATTGTCTTTAAGATTGTCAATACGTTAATATCTTTTGATACCGCATGTTTTAAGACCAAACAATCTCCTTTTTTTTAATTAATAGTATCAAAACTTAAAAAAACTATTTTTTCATAAGACAGGTGTGTAGGAGAGGAATGCATCCATCCAACATTGCAAATGAACTCCTGCAAAGTCTAAATTGCACAAAAACATTGGCAACATTTTCACATTTGTCTTCAATTTTTTGATTTAAAACAATACATGTTCTACTGTTGGGTGTGTTCACTTCTATTTTTGTTGCTGTGGTTTTAAACAGGTATTGATGTCTTTTTTTTCTAGAATCATGAAGTTTAAATTCTAGTATTGACAGCCATAGCGTGATGTTTAATATTGTCTTTTTTTACTGTGTTTGTTGTTCTGAGTTGCTGTAAGCTTTCATACTCTCATCTCGGGGATCAATGGACTGAAGAGACTCTGCTATTCTCGGTTCTCTATATTTATTTTCTTTAAGCTTCAACATGTCAGTGAGACATGTTTATTAAAACTAATTGTTTGTTAACTGTAAAAAAGTTCTGATAAGAACTCAGTGACTTTGTGTCTGCATTGTTGTGATCAAAGATCTTCTCTGAAACATTAAGTTTTACAATATACAGAGCTGTGACCTGCACTGATACCATCAGACTGACCTGGACTTGACTATAATCCAACATTGTTTAGGTCTCAGTCCAAGCCTCAAGTTCTTCAGTCCATGCCCATCCATGGAGACCTCGAGTAAGAATGTTAAAAAAAAGTGTTTTCTTTTTTTACTGAGCTATGCTAACAACACTTGCAGCTCCCACTCCCTCAGAAATAACAACAGATATGTGCTGAGTAACTCCTCCTGGACCTGTGCGTGTGTGTGTGTGTGTGTGTGTGTGTGTGTGTGTGTGACACAGACAGGACTGTATAATGACTGAAGGATGAACTCGATACCCCAGTTTGAAGCAGGCTGAATGTGAAATCTTGTGCTGTAAATTCAAACAAACGTGAGGATTCAGTTCATGTTCATGAGCTTCTTGAACTTGCACACAGACAGAATGTAGATTATCAACAAGTCGGAGGTCTACAGTCCACACTGCGACTGCTGCCGGTGTCTGCGGACGCTGCACATCTGGCTGAAGGACTGTCCGCAGCGCGCGCAGCTGTACGGTTTCTCCTGTGTGTGAACTGTGCGGTGCCTCTTCAGGTGGCTGGAAGAGATGAAGCTCTTCCCGCAAAGTGAGCAGCGATAGCGCCGCTCACCCGTGTGGATGAGCAGGTGCACGCGCAGGTTGTTGGGCTGAGCGAAGCCCTTCCCACAGTGGGGGCAAGTGAATGGTCTTTCCCCCGTGTGCACGCGCCCATGCAGCTCCAGAGCGGCAGCGCTGGGAAACACCCGCCCACACACCGCACACACCGCCGGGTCTTTAGCTGCAGCAGAGCTCCTGTAAGGCCTCCTCTGGCTGCTAGGGGGGGCATGAGGAGCTGAGGGGAGGGGGGGCGGAGGAGGTGGAGGGGGAGGTGCAGCAACCACAGCGGCGGCGGCTGCAGCGGCGGCAGCCATGTCGAAGGAGGCGGCGAATGCAGCCATTTCATGAGCGCCGCCCGTGAAGAGCATGGTGGGGGGGCCATCCAGACTGTCCGTCCCCCCCTGAGAGGAGAAGGAAGAGGGGTGACCTGTCTCTGAGTTCAAACCCAGCTGAGCGACTGCATATGCCGCGCCAAGATGGCTGACCCGCTCCTGCATCCACGCCAGGTCCAGACCAAGACCGCTGAGGCGCTCCGGGCTCGGCTCGTCTGAGGCCAAGGGGGGTGACATCTGGGAGGGAGGGGGTTCCTCCTCATCATCTCCTTCTGGCTGGACCTCTGGCTTCAGAGCTCCGTCTGTCTGGGGCCCCCCCAGCTCTGGGCCTGGAGCAACCCCACTAACCATAACAGGTTTACGTTTGGCTCGAGACCTGCAGGTCAGGTCCATGGTGGCGTCAGTTGGGGAGGGGGGAGGGAGGGACGAGGAGGAGGAGGTGGTGTTGGGGTCAAGAATGATTTCTCTGGGGGGGGTCTCATCAGTTGGCTCCAGGCCTGCAGGAAGACATGATGAACAGAGTGATTACTGTAAAACTTCAAGTAAAAGCCCATCCTAATTTAAGACCCCAGTCTTCTTCACTAGTCTGGGGTTCCCGCTCGTTTTGACAAATAAAGGCAGGTCTCGATAAGAGGCCACTACCATTTAGTATTGAAAGAGTTTGTGGATCAAAAATAAGGAGAAAAAGCATCAAGACACCAAAATTAAAGATGAACTTCCACATCTGTCCAAGAGAGATAGAAAAATGCTAGAAGTAATGACATCATCACTTACCTGCAGATAGACTGCACTCTGCCCTGATGTTTACCTCTACCTTCAGGTCCAGGTTACAGTCTTCTCTCTCCTCCTTCACAACAGGAAACACTCTGCTCTCCTCCTGCTGACATACACAACAACACACACATGATAGTGCCCCACAACAAAATCACATATGCGTGACAACACATCCCCATCCTCAATCTACTTTGAGCTGCACACATGTAATGGTTGGCACTGTCATGATCCAAATTTAAAAAAGTAAATAAGGCAGATTTTTAAAAAATAATTATAACCGAGATTCGCCCTCGCTGACATTATAACCCCCGCCCATGTGTGTGAAACACTGGGACGCATGGACCGTGAGTTTTCTGCTTCCTTTTAGATTTTATGTGTCAAATATTCAGGAAGGATGCCTATAAACATGAGTGTAAGGGGCAACAGAGTGTGCTGAAAACAGTCTGCAGATTAATGTTAACCTTTGAAATGTGATGGAGGAGTTTCTCTTCAGAGGAGGCAGCAGGAGAACGAGCTGCAGCAGGAGGAGCAGCAGGAGTAGACACCACAGGATGAAGAGCAGGTGCTGAAAAACAACAAAGACCACAGAATTAATTAATCCACAACTTCTAATAAAACATGTTTCAGTAAATTTTATAGATCCTGAAGCAGCGGTTGTATCTTCTTCTGTGTGTGGTCTTAAGTCTGATGTTTACATCTGTTTGTATGACAACGTCATCTGTTTATGTTTTTTTTTTCTCTGAGAGGGAGACATGGATGTGGAAAATAATAATAGGAGAAAATAACACAAATCAGCTCTTTCCTCTGTTTCTGTTCCAACATGTCTGTGAACAGAATCAGTTGTGTTTATCTGCTCACACTGAAATCAATATTGAAAACTTCCTCAGTCATATTTGTTTAACCAGAAGTTGCACAAAGTGAAAGAGAGAATTTCTAAAGTTGTGCAGGAGTTTGTCAGCATTTTCAGTTGCCATGGTAACAAACAGGTATCGATAGCATGTGTTTTTGACTAGAATCATACGAGAAATTAAAAAGCTCTAGTGCAGTGTGTGTGTGTGTGTGTGTGTGTGTGTGTGTGTGTGTGTGTGTGTAGGAGTTACAACAGTTTGTAGACACAGAGAGACACAAATTAGCCAGAGACTGAATTCATCAATAATTACATTATTACTGCACGCATGATGACGCGTGTGCGTAACTTACGGCGGTGTGTATGTGTGTGTGTGTGTGTGAGTGTGTGTGTGTGTGTGTGTCTCATGCATCATGTCGCAGGTTACACCCCCCTCCTCCTGTTTACCTCCCGACGGCCTGTAATGGGGCGCGTGCTGACTCCTCCTCCTCATCTTCCTCTCGCAGCTCCTCATCTTCACCTCCATGTCCCGCACTCTGTCCCGCAGGGCCCGTTTCTCCTGCTCGCTCCTCTCGCGCTCCTCCTCCATCTGCACGCGCAGCGACGCGTACCCGTCATCCACCAGCTTACAGATCTCCGCCACCGCTGAGTTCGCCAGGATCTCGATGATGGAGGCGATCTGCGCCTGGAAGCCCACACAGTCCGCCATCATCGCCAGCTGTGCGTGACTGTGCGTGACCGTGCGTGCGCGGCGGGCGGCGGCTGCTGCTGCTGCTGCTGCTGGGGCGCGGCGGGGATCAGATACACGCGCTGCCGTGAGACATCAAACACACCGACGTCTGCTGAAATGTTTCCTCTGAGGAGGGGAAAGAGTCGCGTTCTGATGACGTCAGACTGTTGTTGAGCCTCACTTTACAGAGAAGAGAGCTTAACGTAATAATGTTGTCCAAAAGTTACACTGAACCTTCTGTGTCCCCTTGCTCATTGTCACTGAATGAAACCACTGTAGGAAAAATGTGTCTCTCATCCAGTCCTTCAACCACGAACAAGAAGGTGAGATCTGTGTTTCAGAAAGACACTGTCCCATCTGTGGTCAACTACTGGAAAACAGTTGTCCCAAATATCCAGTGGGAAAAGTTTGGACCCTATCCTCCAGAAAGTCAATCACAAACAAACCTTGTGATGTCTGTTTCAAACTTCTTTATTGAAGTTATCGCACAAAAAAAAATGAAACAAGACATTGATGTTACCTGCTCTCTTCGTGGACTTGTTAGTGAAACAACAAGAAACTAGATTTGGAGCTGTTCCTCTCCTGTTGTCAAATTCTTAAAAACTTCAATTTATTTTCCAAAGATGTGCTTTTTAAAAAGTTTTTTTTAAGAATTCCGCAACTCAGAACAAAAGAAATACCATATTATTAATCTCTTGATTATTTTGGAGAAATGTCACATCCATAAAAGAAACTTTGCGAACAGAAAACCGACATTCAGACTTTATTCTATCGAGCTGCAGCAATACATAAAAACCATTCAACACTCTGAGAAGGCCCTGAGGACTCATTTAACTGTATAAACCGATAATGCTTAGATTTTTACCCTTCCCTTTCTTTCACTCTGTCTTTGTCACCCCCTCTATGATTACAATAAAGTTGTAGAAACAGCAGAAGAGAGCTTACCACAGTTGTACTTCACATCACTCCAAGACAAGCATTTTTTTTGGACAGTATATTGTCCAGACATTTTTGGAAGAACTGTAATAGTTTTATTATTTCTATTTCTATTATTTATTCTCTTGAATTCAAGTTTTTAGAGAGAGGAAAACACATTTTCCTTAATCATACTCATCCTGCATTTGTTTTTTGCAAGTTTGACATCCATAAGTGCACATTTGTACACATGTTGCCTTTTCCCCTGCTTTGACTTAACATTGAAATGTATAGTTATACTATATTAAAAAGCACAAGAAGGGAAGCAATGAAATCGTATATTGCTTGTCAAATTAACGTTTTTATTTAATTAACGTCTGATATATATTTAACACAATGCTTTGATTTGATGAATCCCCTGACATTTCACCATTTTGTACTCTTGTCTATCTTGTTTGTATTATTCTGTGTTCATGTTCTGTCTTACATAAACATCCTATATGGTCTTTGTATCAATAAAGTAAAATAAAAAAGCGGCAGCAGAGAGCTGGTTTGTAATGATATTGAAAAAAAAAGTCTGCTTTTCATCACCAGACCTACTTGTCCTTCTCATCTTCACAAATTGTCAACTCAACAATTTATTTATTCATAAGAATAAATCTATTTGAGATGTAGTACCATCTAGTTTTAAGGGACTAATTTACAACATGACATAAAAAAATCTACGATAATTTAAACAAAAAAGAACAGAAATAAATGTTAACAATACACAAACAAACATCAAAAAACAATCCACTTAGATCAAACAAAGAAGTGGATGAAAAACATTAACACCACACGATGGCCAATTGTTCCAGTCTACAGGAGCTTTAAACCTAAAATATCTTTTGTCAATTGCAATCTCAACATTTGGAACAAAATAAATCTGACTTGACTTCCGAGGTTGATGATTTGAGGTGAAGGCTATATTGTTTTAAATAAGGTGGATAATTGAATTGAATACATTTGAATAAAAACGCAGAGATGGTGATTTGAGATTTTAAAAAAGACGACAAAGGACAAACTTGCTAAGGGTCTTACAAGCCAACAAGGTCAGATTTAGATGCATTTTGATAAATAACATCACAATAGTCCAGGATTGGGAGTATCAGTTGAGAGGTATATGGTTTCTTGAGAACATTTATTGAGAGTAAAACAGTCACAAGATCGATAAAAAACATTGATACCTAAATTGACTTTACACAAGACATGATGATCAATGTTTGGTTTGAGAGTTCAGGATCAGGCCAAACACCAAGATGTTTTAAATGATCAACTTAATGCAGATGAGTGCCGTCAATACAACTGATTACGATGGGCCCAGATAGAGATTTGAGTTTCCTATTGGTAGAAAATAACTTTAGGTTATATATTTGACTTTGTTTTATCAAGATGTCATTTATTGGATAAAAGAACATAATGTTGAAGTTAGTCAATTCTATATTAACACAAATCTGTATAAATATTATGTTGGTAGATCAGTTTCTTTTTTAACAAGGAGGGAATTCTTATCACCTTTGAAGAATTTATTTTAGAAAATAATATCCTTTAAACACCTGGGGATTATGTAAAAGTGTTTTGCGCTATCTGGAGTCTGTAAAATATCAACTCAGGATCAATGTCCACCTGTACCACTGTTATCAACAGCAAACACACCAATGGGGAAAATCTGTGTTTCTGGTTCTCCTAGTTATAACAACAGATCTTTAAGAACAATGTTCTAAACAGACGTTACAACATTACTGTCTGTCATTTCGTATTGGAATAAATGGCATGGAAGAAAACTCATAAACGTAAGGAAATTTCATTTTAAACTAATCCATGAATTTTTCCAAACTAAAAATAATACATAGATACAAATTAAATAATGTCAATCCTTTTGTGTAGGCTATAGTGATATTTTCTTGGAGTTCATTAAGACTTTTTTTGCAGTCATTAAATGTCTTTACTGCTGATTTTAGGTCCTGTACATTGTGTATTTCTATCTTCTGAAGAAAATAAATAATAATCGATATAATAAATAAATCCCCGATGGATAGTTATTTATAGTTTTTGCCACAGTTGTTGAATTAACTCGGTGACTGTTGTTCCATATGTGACCTCTGGGGGCAGCAGCGTGTCTTTGTTGTAAACAGCCTACCACAAGTTTTTTCTTATTCTTTAATAAACATTATCAAACTGTAGAAATGTACAAAAAAATCAGACATACCAATAAAAAAAAGACAGGCACAAGGACAATTTTCAACGCAAACATAATGAAAATAAAAATAATTTCATTGACATTCACTGATTTTGAAATAAGTTCTGCAGCACAGGAAGTGACGTCGTGTGTTTGCAGTTTTCGCTCGAGAACAGACGGAAGAGAAGCTACGTTAGTCTAGCAGTGTCTTCCCTCCTCTGTTTTTAAATGTTTCTGTGGTGATTTGACAGATCCAGAAACGTCTTCACCCCCGGAAGGCTTTCACGGTTCTTTTGCAGCTCCTTACCCGTCTCAGAGGCCTCCTCCGCGGCAGGATGTCGGGTCGACTGGCCTTCCAGACGCAGCTGGCCTCCATCATGGAGGTGCTGGCTAACGCTGCGGTGGCGGAGATCTGCAAGCTGGTGGACGATGACTACGCGGTGGTGAGCCTACAGATGTCCCAGTGTCAGCGGGAGAACAAGGCCCTGAAGAGGAAGTTACACTTGCTGGAGCTCAAGATGGCACGGGGGAACGCCGAGAGGAGGCTCCGGGAGAGCGCCATGAACGGCGGCCGACCTAGAGTGCAGATCACTGGGGGAGACAGGCTGCGAGAGGCCGCCAACACCTCCAGGTCCTCCTGCACAGGTGAGATAAAAAAAAAACAAAAAAAACAGTGACGATCAATTTAAAGGAGGAGGCTCTGTTTTTGTTTGTATTAGTTTCTCTCCCAGTCCTGTAAGAGTAAAGATACAAGTGGACCAATAAATCATCATGTTGACTATCTTGCTCTTTAAATAAAAATAAAACAATTTTAAAAACCTCTTGGATGCTTAAAAACGATTTAAGCACTAAAAAGATGCAACTATTTCAAAGTTTAAATCATTGTTATTGTTTAAATTAAAATGCCAGAGTTTTAAAGGTGTGACACAAAGTTATTAAAAGATGACATGATGGAAGAATAGTAAATACACCTTGATATGATTTTAGTAAAAAATCAAATACTGATGCTTATTTGATACCACGGAAACAAAAATAGTAACTTAGCTCTTTGAAATGTGTTTTACATTAAAAGTGCGGTAGAAATGTTTTGTTATTATTGTTACAAGTCACATCTGCCCAATATTGGAAAATTTATTGTTTTGTTTAATTAACCAAAAATACTGACAAACTCCTGCAAGCTGTCTAAATTGTAAAAATATGATGGCAACATTTTTTCAAAAATCAGTGTTTTGTACAGAAAGAATCATATTACATCACAATCTTTCTCTGAAGATGTGTTCTGAAGACCCACTCATAAGTGCGCATGCAGGAGTGGGAGATATGTCGGAGTGTGCGAGAGAGAGAGCGGGGAGAGAGAGTGCAGGCTATGAAGGTAGATATGTTGCAAAATAGATGAGATCTTGTAGAATGTGATGTGAGAGCTTGTAGAATGTGATGAGAGCTTGTAGAATGTGATGTGAGAGCTTGTAGAATGTGATGAGAGCTTGTAGAATGTGATGTGAGCTTGTAGAATGTGATGTGAGAGCTTGTAGAATGTGATGTGAGCTTGTAGAATGTGATGAGAGAGCTTGTAGAATGTGATGTGAGCTTGTAGAATGTGATGTGAGCTTGTAGAATATGATGAGAGAGCTTGTAGAATGTGATGTGAGCTTGTAGAATGTGATGTGTGAGCTTGTAGAATGTGATGTGAGCTTGTAGAATGTGATGTGAGAGCTTGTAGAATGAGATGAGAGAGCTTGTAGAATGTGATGTGAGAGCTTGTAGAATGAGATGAGAGAGCTTGTAGAATGAGATGAGAGCTTGTAGAATGTGATGAGAGAGCTTGTAGAATGTGATGTGAGCTTGTAGAATGTGATGTGAGCTTGTAGAATGAGATGAGAGAGCTTGTAGAATGTGATGTGAGAGCTTGTAGAATGTGATGTGAGAGCTTGTAGAATGTGATGTGAGCTTGTAGAATGTGATGTGAGCTTGTAGAATGAGATGAGAGAGCTTGTAGAATGTGATGTGAGAGCTTGTAGAATGTGATGTGAGAGCTTGTAGAATGTGATGAGAGCTTGTAGAATGTGATGAGAGCTTGTAGAATGAGATGTGAGAGCTTGTAGAATGTGATGAGAGAGCTTGAAAAAAATGTGATCCTGTAGAGTTAAAATTTGAACCCAAAGAAAATATTCACACATGCGTGATCTGAATGTGAAGTCACAGAAAAAATATTCACAAATGTGTAGACTGATATTTACACAAATGAAATGACAGCTGCAAACTTGTAATCCAACATTTACTCACATGTTTTTTTATTACTCGTGCCTATTATCCTTTACAACCACAACTCTGCGGTTACAACTTCTCAAATCTGCCGCTACAACTGCACAAACTACTTTTCTCACGTGAATCTGCGCTGCTTGAGTTTTGCAACACATTTTGCGAGACGTCTGTAGCAAAACAAATTTGTACTTGTAGAAAACGAGAGAAGGTCCACTGTCCTTGCACCCCTCCTGTAAATGCACCTTGCTCCAATTAAAACAGAAGCTTATCATGGCTTCGTTTAAAGACATGTTAATGTACAGCTGCTTGCTGCTGATGCTGTGCTGAATAATAAATAGTTCAATGGAGACAGAGGGGCAGTGGATAAGAAGTGAACAGTGCAGAACTGACTTGTGTTTACTGTGTCTGAAATTGTGTATGAGCACCCAGTAGCCACAATCTACTCTATCTAATCTTCTAATCCGTCAGACTACCGACAAACAAACAACCATTTTTACTGTCCTTGACTTGCCGTTTGAAGATTTACTTTTCTCTAATAATCACAGTGACTAGCAAAAATGGTCCCGCTCCATCATGTTCCACATCCAGTGAAATATCTAATCCAAACAACACATCCGTAAAAATCCACAGATTTCTTCAAGTTTGCCATCGCTGGTTCTAACATCCCACTGTATTTTCTGTAATTATTCATTTTTATGGATTCACCTTTTCAACTGCGAGACATCAAAATGGCAAGTTCGTCTCTGATCTTGAGATTGACACTTCATTTGGCCAATTACAACCATCCATTCACTGTTCCCAGCCTACAAAAGCCAATGAGAGTCTGAGTTGAAAGTAGATACCTGCTCCTGTTTTGATGCATCTATACCCGGCCAATAACCCACGGCCATGCCGATGACTGACGTTTCTTGTAGGCTAATGAAATTCTGAACATGTGGAAATGCTGCCTCAATCAATCAGACAGAGCACTTCTAACTGTAAACGTATTGCGACAAAAGCTTGCCTTATTTCAACAGTAGTGCGCACGTTGGAATGATTTTAGCTCTCAACCGAGATCTTATTTGTGCTTGCAGTCGAAACGGTTTAAGAAAAGCTTTCAAATTCCTCAGAGTGTGTCTGGATAGGAGTTTTTGGAAAATGTTACAGTATTATGCAGGAAAGGAACATTTTTTTTTATTCTTTTCACAAACAGGTGGTCTACTTTTTACGTCATTTTTCATGTTCATGTTGACGTTGTGCAAGAGGCTGTAAACAAAGTTGCTTGTGTGACATTTGGCATTTAAACCCATGTGGATTTGACTTAGGAATGATTTTGAATACATCAAGATACATATTGTGTGTCACAGTTCAGCTTAAAAGTATTGAGACATGATTTTTGTTCCATATCACCCAGGCCTTCTATAAGCAGAGTTAAAACCACTTTGATTAGACTCTCCATGTTTCTAACAGACATGTCTCTGTGTTTCAGACGCAGGGTTCGGAGGACAGATGGACGTGGTTCTGTGGTCTGAACGAGCTGCACAAGAAGACGCTGAGCTGATCCACACTGAGCGTGTGCAGAGGAAGGTGAGCGCGCCTCAGTCCTCCTCAAACCAAACCTCACAGAGTATGAATGTTAAACTGGGTTTAATCTGGTTTAATCTGGTCTAATCTGATGTGCAGTCTCCAGACGTGGAGCTGGTGGAGGAGGATGCGGCGCAGGTGAAGGAGGAGAAGGTGGAGGCAATCATGTCGAGGGTGACTGAGAGGGAGGAGGAGGAGGAGGTGCTGATCAGAGACGATGGTGAGTATAGACAGAGAGGAGACAAATTTCAGGCTGATGGTTCAAATCATTGTGTTTGTTAAAGGGTCGTCATGGTATCAGAATTTTAAACTTTGATATGATTCTAATAATAATCAAATGATATTGATACCTGTTTGATACCACAGCTACAGAAATAAGGTTGATGTGAATACCAGTTGGCTACATAAAGGTGCTTTAGTAAGAACTGTTTATTCTTTGTCCTGGTGGTCTCTCTTCAGGAGTGCTCGAGCGTGTCCCCTGTGGACCAGGACAGCGACCCGGCCTCCACCAGCAGGACACCCAGTCCAGCTCCAACCAGACCCTATCCCCGTCCCCAGGCAGCAGGAGGAGGCGTACGGGCAGCAGAGGAGTGGAGGTCAGTGACTCCTCCTCTCTCCTTAGCTGTGAGCTTGTTGGCTCTCTGCAGGAAACAATTAACCGTTCGTACAGCGACTCTCAGTTTGACGTTTTGTGTGACTCCTCGAAAAACGCTAACTTGTTGGTTGAGGAGTTTTTTGACGAGCGGTCGCGAGCTGGAGCCGAAGGGAGGATGCCGTCTTGTTCGTACTCAATGGCGGCGGCAGATTTCCCATCATCGTCCTCGGGTTTGAACGGTCAGACTCGTTTCAGTCTCCCTGAGCGTGTGCCTGTGACCCAGCGCAGCAGAGTGAACCATCGAACAGGCGCCAAGGAGAGACTGTTCGTCTGCAGCTACTGTGGGAAAGCTTTTAACCGACCCAAGAAAGTGGAGATCCACCAGCGCGTGCACACAGGGGAGAAACCGTTCAGCTGCTCCACCTGTGGGAAAACATTTTCTGAAGCTGGGAACCTGAGGAAGCATCAGAGGGTTCACAGTGGAGAGAAACCATACAGCTGCGGCTTGTGTGGACGAGGGTTCGCCTGGATCAGAAACCTGAAGACTCACCAGCTCAAGAGCCACCCTGAAGTGTACAGTGAGCGGACACCAGGGGGCGCACCTGAGCTGTCTTCTTTTATCTGAAGGGTACTGAAGGTGAAACATCAGAATGGAATGGAAACAGGACCTTTTAATAAACAGATGCCAGTGTGTATGACAGAAGCATTAAAAGTGTTTATACTAAGTTATGTATGTCACAGTGTTTTCTCAACATGTAGAGTCAGAGCAACATTTCTGCTTCATCATATAATGTGTTCACACTGAAGGTCCCACATTAGAATGGAGACACATTTTTAGCAGCGTGAACCTGAGCTGTGTTTCATTGTCTGTGTTTGAATGGCTCAGGAGGATTCTGCCCTCCACTCTTTGACCTAAAGACATCCGTAAAGAAAAATCTCTCCTGCTCATGTCGAATATCAAGTTCAGAAAAGTAAAAACTACAGTGTTAGGCCCCGTGTCCACCTAGCGTTTTTTCCGGGCAGGAAAGCGCTGGTAAGCACTGAGTTGTAGAAAGACGTTGACATGTTTCAGTCTGTGTGAGTGTGAACGTGTTAATGAGGACATATTATAGCCCTTCTCCACCTGTAGAAACCAGCTCTCTCAGAATGCTCTGTTTTGGTGTGTGTGTCTCTTTAAATGCAATGAACCCCCCTCTGAGTTTTCCCGTAGACTTAACTCCTCTGTAGCCAGAATAAAAATGGCAGACCTGCGCAAAAGTTTTGTTCTAGGCTGGGGTGGAGTCCATGGGTGGAGATACCAGGGAGGGGATGGGATGGGATTTCTTCTTACCAGAATCCCACTGTGATGTCACAAGGAGAGCAAATTTGAAACGGAGCATTTTTCTCTGTGTTGTAAGACCTGTGCAGACCACAAACAAAGGACTGGATGAGTTATTTTACATTTTGTGATTCAGTAAACACTCAGGGTACCCAAATATATGAAAACACTGTAAAAGCGGATTTTTCTCTGTATGTCCCCTTTAAACAGTCTGAAGCTAAAATGACTCGACGTAAGTCTAAATTAAGATTTAAGTTTACAATTTGACAGAGCGCAACAGAAGAATGAGATAAACATTTCGGCATCATAAAGTTTAGCAATAATGTAACAGTTGTCAGAAACATAATTTCTCTGGTTTGTTTGGAAAGATGTTTTATTTTTCTGAGAGGGAAATGTTCACTCTGAACTCAGACTGCTCAGTGATGCTGTGATGACATCACATCTCACTGTTCTGATAACAAACAGTAACCATCTTCAGTGGTCAGATTTCCTGCTCTTAACAACCCGACAGTTTTACTTAATCTAAGATTAAAACATTAGAAAGATAATAAATATCACCAGTAGTAAACTCTGTGTTCATCACCATGTTCTTCCTGTTAAAGAGCATAGAAAGTTGAGGAGCTTTGGAGGCGGGGCTTGTAGTACTGACTGGTTCTGATTGGTGGAGATCTTGCATCATTTGTCACCATGTTGAAAAACTGCACCTGTGAAGTAGCAAGTTTGATTTTATTTAGATTGAATTGGAAACACAGACAACAACAGACTGGAGGAACTTTTAAGCCTACTAAAACTTTAGATCTGATACTTTAGAGTTCCTGCTTCTTCAGGTGGAAATGACTTTAGATCCTCAGCAGGAGTTTTAAGGAGGAGGCTCTGTTTATTTGCTCAACAAAGTAAAAAATAAAGTTGGCTAGGAAATATGTTTGTCTTAAATACACAGTAATAACACTCTCACCACATCATTATAAATATGATTATGGACTGTTTCTATATTTCTGTGTAACCTGAACTATCATCCAGTTTTTTTAGGATTTTCACAATATCAGAATTAAAACTTAGATATAAAAAAAATAAACCATGTCATACCTGTTTGATACCACAGCAACAAAATAGAAGTCCTAGACACCCATTATTGGGTAATTAATTGATTTTAACGAACAAAAATTGGTCTAAAGTGCACAAAAAAATAAACATCAGCAGCCATCTCGGTCAATTACAAAAATGTCTCAACGGATCCCCGTCCCGTCCCATTTCAGATTAAAGGCTGTGATTGGCCCGAGCAGAATCAGGATTGATTTGAATCTGAACTTCAGGTGGAGAAGACGTTTCAGTCATAGAATAAAATAAAACCGATTCAGTGTGTGTGTGTGTGTGTGTGTGTGCATGGAGTCCAGTGAATGTGTGAGCACTGTGAAGGAGTGGATTAATGTAATGTTTGACATCATGTGTTTTCTATGAATAACGGTTCAATATTTGTAGCATTGTGCATATGGAATAAAATCTGCTTCTTAAACTCTTGTGAAGATGTTTTAATGAGCCTGAGTTTAATCTGAAGGGATCAGGTTTAAACTGATGCTTAGTAAGGTAAGGCTACCTGAGATTTGCAAAATTGCTACCATGACAACCTGAAAAAAAGTCTTGTTCAGTGTTTGGTTGTATAAAAAGAAGCTCTGAGGAGATGACTGTTCATGTTTCAGTATGAACGTTTTTACTCAGGAAGTGACCATATTTGGATAAATGGGTGGAGCTGGAGAGTAGTGAGGGTCACTTCTGGTGCTAAAAATAAAGATGGCGGTCATTTTCATTTAGTATATTATGTTCCCACTTAGAGTCAAATACACCAGAAAGAGGGGAGGAGTTTCGGCAGGGCTACCTGTGATTGACATGATGATACCATGGCAACCTGTCAGTCAGAAGTGAGATGTAGCAACGAGCAGGGTTAAATTAAAAAAAGGTGATTTTAAATTTTCTATACTGAAGTTTAAAAAAAATTGCAGTTCCTCAAATGGTCACTAGAGGTTGTCACCCATTTCTCTCTTTATGACAACTGTACAGGCTTAATATTTATACATCTCACCTGTTTACATTATATTAAGTCTTAAAGTGATGTAGAATTAGGGGTGTGGCCTCTGAGTGACAGGTGGAAGCTGCTAGCTGTCTGCTAGGCTTCACGTCAGCTAATTCAATCACTGACCTTTAACCTCTGGGACGTGTTTGTGCCGTTGGAACCCTTTGGAGATTTTTTTCTTGGAAATATCAGACAAAATATCTGTCTTGCTTCGTGCTTTATTGTTCTAACTACAAGTCTGAGCTCCACGAGCTCAAACCAGTCACATTATTATGTTTACATGTAAGCAATAACTAGCAGCTATCTGTGACTGAGAGAACCGCAGTGTCAGCTTGTTGAGCATTGCATTTATTTGTGTTAGCGTGCGTTGGGTCAGGAATAATGTGGGAGTTGATAAAGAATAAAACATACAGACAGAGAT